CGGAGCGCCAGGTGGCTAAAGCACAGCAAGTTGGCACAGTAGAGGGCACATGTGGTGCATCAGCCAGTCGACCAGTGGCACCTGGGTCTGCCCCGTGACCTCCTCCCAGCGGGCGTTCAACACTTCACGTGGCCTCATGGTGCACAAAGCCTGGCACAACCGTCGTGGTGACGTCACCACCACTTAGTGGCGAATGGCGGTTGTTACAGTGTATAGTGCAGTAGTGTATAGTAGTGTAGTGTATATTGTAGTCGTGTATTGTAATGCATAGTAGTGTATAGTCGTGTATAGTGTATAGCAGTGTCTAGTGTAGTAGTGCGAGAGTCCTTCGCCAGGGAAAGGGACGTCTGGACTGCCCTACTCAACATGTTGCCATCGCAACCCTCACCAGGACAAGCGGACTGAGAAACGAACCTATGACAAAGGGACGTACGTCTTTCTTGTGTTCATTTGCAATCTTGGGGTTTCGGTGAAAGGCTACAATACTCGTGGAGCCAAACATTACGGAGATACTCCACTTGCCGGCATAATGGGCTGCCCTGTTGTGTGGTATTTTTCTTTCGATTTAAAGCTTTCGTGACTGCAAGGATTCATCTTCTTTGGTTCTTTCGGTAGAGTCACGTAGAATGAGAATAAAATAATAAAATAAAATAAGACAATAAAATTCTCACGACGTTTCGGCCACAACACAAGCAGCCTTCATCCTGACAGTTCTGTTCTTTCACCTGATGAAGGCTGTTTGTGTTGTGGCCGAAACGTCGTGAGAATTTTATTGCCTTATTTTATTATTTTATTCTCATTCTACGTGACTTTACCGAAAGAACCAAAGAAGATGGTATTTTTCTGTTATTTGGCGGTTATAAAATGTCCCTACAATAAACCACTCTGTTAAGCTATCATTCATGGCCAGGTCGCTATAGCTCAGTGGGCCTTACCTGGTAAAATCAAGATAGTTTAGTTTTAGTTTAAAATGGGCTGCCTTGTTTTTATTTTTACTGCATTTTCTTTTGGCATGACATTCATTGTTTTGCTGCTCCTAATATATCACCATCTGCCAATAATTCCGTGATAATGCAATTTTTTTCAAATAAAGCCTCCATTCAGCCTCGAGAAACGTTTTCAGCACGATTTGTAATACTTCACGGCAATCGTCTGTTTGATCTCCCTTGCAAAAGCGTTCACTAATTTCAAAATCTATTTTAAAAGCGCTCCCATTCCGTTGATTATGGGCCTTCCAATCTTGTAAATTTCTTAAATATGTTTTGCATGTCCCATATATCATTAGAGCAACACAAATCATACCACCCACCACCGCTTCCTCCATACATCCACATGTCCTATAAAATTTAAACCAATTTAAATTTCAGGGGTTGGTGGTGATGATCATTACCGGCATTGGTCCTCCGAGTGATTGAAACTGCTGCCGGCTGCTGCTAATCTGAAAAATTATTTTAGGAAGCTGCTGAAGGATTTTTTTAAAATAAAAAATACATACGAAGAAGCGTCTGGCCACTGAAAAATTTATGCATGCGGACGGTGCTAAGAGTTTCATGGCAGAATAGGGTGATTATGATTTTATGTTACCAATAAAAGCCTCACCGACGAGTCCAAATGACTAATTTCCTTTTTAGAACACGTTGAACGTTTGTGTGACATTGACTGTGTGTGTCACGCATCTCCCTGCCCCCCGCCTCCCCTGAGATGTTCTATCCCCCCCCCCCCCTTTAAGGTGTGCAGCAGTGGGGAGATGTTAACTGCCTCGTCTGGTATACAGGTCGTGGGTTCAATCCCGATCCGCACGCCTCTATATTTGGAGTTTGGATGTTCTCCGCGTGGTCACGTGGAATTTGTCTGGCTCCTCCGGTTTTTCCCTCCAGATTTAGAAACATGCGTTCAGAGCATTGGCTGCTATAAATTTCCACATGACAAGCCACTTTGCTATACAGTTCAGTGGGCCATACCTGGCAAATAAAATAGTAAACAGTCAAATAGTTAAACAAGGATGACTACCACCATCTCCTGACCACCCCGAAGCCCCCGCGGGTTTGGGAGTTTCACAGATCTCGACGTGGTCCATTAACCTTTGCCCCCAAAGCGTTGGATCACAGGCATCTCCACCGCCACCACGCCTGGGAAAGCAACTTATAAGTTACTCCATTTCTCATTTGAGCAGCGAGCCACTGCCTGTCGACACGTGGTTTAAACGTTTCAATTTAATCCACCTTTTGTCAATGGCCCAGCCATGATATCTAGCAATTAGCTACGAAGTGCATGTTAAAGACGCCATAACACCCTTTGTGGATGTAGGTTATCATGTGCTTGAGTTGAAGGCTGAAAAAAATTGCCCATAACTCAAGCCAGCTGAGAATAGCTGTGGTCAAATAAGGGCTCGACTTGCAATTCAGAGTTAAATGTAAATGCCTGCCAAGTGAAGATCGACTCAGCCCACCGTCAGTCGCGGTTGATGAATATGTAGTGACATCGCGGATGTCACTGTGTAATGCCGGCCCGAGAGAGGCACGGCGTGCGATGTATTGACATCGCGGGTGCCACGTGGATGTGGGTGCAGTACCGGCCCTAGAGGGGCTCGGTGAGCGCTGACTGACAGTGCTGGATGGCACCACGCTCTGCGTGCAGTGCCGACCCCTACAGGATAGGGTGTTAGAGTGCCGTCCATGGGAATGGGGTTACTAAGGGCCATGGCACTCTGGCTGAACCAGAAGGACACGTGACCGGTAATGTCTACACAGGACCCCCAGGTGGGGGCTAGGGCTGGTCACGTGTCAGGGCTGAGATCCTGCTTGAGGATTCTAGAAGGTGGTCGTGGCTAAGGGCGGAGCCAGCCACACCACGGAGGATATAAGCCGGGTCCCCAAGAGGGACCGGTTGCTGGTGTTATCCTGAAGAATCTACGTTCTACGTCCTACAAGAGTCACCAACACGTGGACCTGGACCCGGACCCAAGCTGGGGTCCTGTCCATTGTAGCTACTCCCAGTGTCATTAGTGTAGTGAGCCTGGTGGTCCATCACCATAGGTTGTTAATGTGTTAAGGGGCAGTTACCCCATGTGTTGGTATCAATAAATGCGTTGCCTCCACAGAGTACGTCTGCGACTCCGTTAAACTCACTACAAATACCGCGCTGTGGGGAAGGCAGCGATAGCCTGGGCCCTGCCAAAGCAGTGCGCAGTATCTCACCCTCGGGTCAGCGCTGCCAGTGGAGGTGAGTGCTGCCCGATGCTCGTTTGGGACTAGGCCTCGGCAAGGTAAAAGGTAAAAACAACGAGCCTACCTTTACCCTACCTTTTCACAATACAATCACTCTACCCTACCTTTTACCCTTTAGCAAGTAAGGTAAAAGGTAAAAACAACGAGCCTACCTTTACCCTACCTTTTACCCATACACATGAAAAAGGTTTATAACGGTAAATGCTAGGCAGAGCGCTTTATTCATATAGAATACTCTCGATTACAATTTTACACGCTTGTCGTTCTTGTTGTTGTTCTTGTATCCTCAAATCTTGTAACTCAATTTTAACTCACTTCCCAATGTCGTATCGACTGCAAACTTGGTATACTTATGTCATACTGATGACAATAATATAATCTTCTTTGGTTCTTTCGGTAAAGTCACGTAGAATGAGAATAAAATAAGTAAATAAAACAATCTAATTCTCACGACGTTTCGGCCACAACACAAGTGGCCTTCAGGTGAAAGGAACAAACATGTCGGGACGACAGAGCTACAATGAACGCTGCTAAGATTCGCAGCGTCTTTTAAGCTGGTTGAGAGAAGTGAGGCACCTTGACAAAGGGGTTTACAAATCAAACAGGAGAATTTAGCATTGAAATAACTGAGGGATTAGCTTGTGACTGGTCACAGAAATAGCTTTGTTAAAGTCAAAGCCTACACATCCACAGAGGCACCTAGTGCATGGACGCCAAAGGGGCTGCAACAGCTCAACTATCATACAGTAAACCGATGTGAAAAAAACCCAAGTCTAAATTACATCAATATAATAAATGTATTCAATATATTCATCATGTCGTCCCGACAGGTTTGTTCCTTTCACCTGAAGGCCACTTGTGTTGTGGCCGAAACGTCGTGAGAATTTTATTGTTTTATTTTATTTTATTCTCAATTCTACGTGACTTTACCGAAAGAACCAAAGAAGATGAATCCTTGCAGTCACAAAAGCTTTAAATCTAAAAATACTATATTCATAAAAATTTAAATATATATTTTTAAACATTCTTTTGTATATGTTATGTTTCGGCTTGGGTCTAATTGTCCACGCTCGGCTCACGTTGGCTGTAAATCACCACGGGCCCCTTACGTTGTGGCAAGCTTCGGGGCCACTTCCTGGAGTCGTGGAGTTCTGCCACTACTAGTATAGTACATTTCATTAAAGCGTGTTTTTAAAAAAAAAGTTTTTTAAATATTTATTAAATGGAGGCCACGGACTGCGCCACGGAGCTTTTAGCGGTAAACAAGGCACCGTATTTACCGGGGTAATACTTCACGCTACCTTTACCCTACCGGGTAATTCTTCCAAGCTACCTTTACCCTACCCTTTACCTTACCCCTTGGCATGTCGACGCCTTTACCCTTTTACCCGGTAAAAAGGGTAAATTACCTTACCTTGCCGAGGCCTATTTGGGACGCACATCAAGGTTTGATTAGGTCTCTTTACAAAAAAAGTAATCTCAAGGAGCTCTTGTCTAAACGAAGGACACTGATACGTATCATTAAACGAAATGTAAGTGTGGATGGAATGAACAAAGGTTGCATTTAGTTTTTTGTTGTTGTAAAATTTGCACAAATTACTACCTGTTGTATTCAATGTCTTTTAGAGAGCAACTGTCGCGGGTGTTTCAGGTGATGAAGTGTACACGGAATCTTTTCATGCAAGCGTGACACACCCTCACCCCCTCCATATGCAGTGGTTCATTCCACAATGCCCTCCAGGGTGCACAGCAATAATTGTGGAGTATACCATGTAAAGCAATCGTATAGGGGTTTAATTTTATTCTTAAAAACTGCCTATAACTTTCTTGAGTCACATACGCTTACAAAGCTTAGCGTACAAAATCTTGACACTGCATACCAATAGTTTTTTTTCTGTTTGTATCTTTAAACGTGGCACACACAGATGAACATAAACCCATAAATGTGATTACAAAAATAAATTCCACAGTAAACCAACGATCGATTACCAGGAATAACAAAGACTACGGTTATATATTTTCCTTTCGTTAAGTGTTGCGATAACTGTGGCATACACACGCACAACGCCGGGTCATTTATTGCACTTTGCTGGCACTGAAAACGTCACGGGTGCAGCGACACTGACACTGGCGGGCGAAGTGAGGGTACCACTTGATGCAGCCCAATCGGTGAATTCCTTGTCGAGCCATGCTGAGACTGAACCAACGAGATGTGAACGCGACAACGAACGCGGGCCGGTTTCACAAAACGAGATTTCTCCTCGCGAGTCCGTGCAAGGTTTGCAACAACGCCCAGCACTCTCAGTACAACTACATGAGTCGGATCCGCCGTGCTCATTTTTGTCGAATATTGGAGGGGGTTAGGAGGGGGAGCGGGGGAGGGGGGGGTGCTTTATAAAGAGATAAAGGTACAGCCCTTGAAATTGCTTTGCTCACGCTGCTGCTGGTGGACGGGGCCTCCACTGGAGGCAGCTCTAGAGAGCACCTCCAGAGGGCATTTTGACAGAAGTCTCGAGAGAGAGGTGGGAGTGTGCGCGTGTGTCCCCCACCCCCCAACTACACGTGACATGTCAATAGACTGTGGTGTGGCGAACCCAATCACACTGTTGAGTGGACAGAGGAGAGCGGTTTTAAAGCAAAATAAACTTGCACCATTGTTTCAACGTCCCAACAAGAGATCATATCGAATCGATGATCTCTTGCCTTGCAAGTACCCGTGTGCGGACCATAACACCACAGCAGAATTTCAATTAAAAAATATTGTGGTGGTGGGGGTGGGTATATACTTCTTGGGTTAACGTGACGTTGCTGGCACACACGCAAATGGCTGTGCCAGTGTACAATGAGCCAGCATCACTGACGTCATGGGTTGGATTCCTGGACACAATTGGGGCTGGCACCGCTGGCACCGCCGGCTTCTGCTGGAGTCTGGGTTCCAGCAGCCCGTGATTAAAGCAAGTCCCCGAGGGTAGCGGAGTCGATGGTCCTTAGATCAGTCACCAACGACAACGATAAAGCAAGCAAATCAAAACGTACCTCCCCCCCCCCCCCCACTTAATGTGGTGTTTGATGATGATGTTGGTTTGGAACAAATAAAAAAAAAACCCTACGTGGTGGAGTATCATTTGACAGTTGGTTAAAGAAAGACAGCCAAAAAAGCCCCACAAGAACTGCCCAGGAATCACGGAACGTAGGAACAACATTGGGCAAACGTTGCACCATTGTTTCAACGCCCCAACAGGAGATCAGCGGAGGCCCCGTCCGCCAGCAGAAACGTTGGTCCAATGGTTACAACCACATGCCAACGTTGGGTGCCGCCTTGCGGGAAACGTATCTACGCGTGTGTCCGAAGCCTCCCAACACCATTGTGCATTTTCGTTCGTGAGCAAGTCAGAATTTAAAGTCGCTGCCACGATGTCTCCCACGCGTACGGAACGGTGCAGCTGTAGCGCCATCCAGTGGTGTGGCGGCATTCGCTGGAGTCATCTCCCGCTCGAGTGACCCCGAGGCCATCCAGAGCCGTTCCTAGAGTAAGCGCGAATTGGGGCGATTGCCCGGGGCCCCGCGCTTGGGGGGGGGGGGCGGGCGGGCCCGCGTTTCGACGTCGCGGTTATTGGCTGTAATGGGATCCACACGGTGTGGGATTTTCCATGGGCCCTGCACCCCCCCCCACCCCGTATGGACGACCCTGACAACCACAACCACATTGTGTTTGCCTACTGGGGAGCCCAGCGCCCAGAGGGGAGATTTGAAAACCAAAAATACGTCGTGGCACTTTGTTCTGCAGCTGGAACGTTGAGATTTTCCCCGGTGTAATTGGCAGCTTTATTTATTTACAGAAACAACAGAATTCAACCGCTTCTGTAAACTGATATAAGAAAAACAACGGAAATTAACAATTTATATATTGACAAAAAATGCACCTGGCTGTTGTTGATTCGTATTTTCCAGTAAAAGGGGGCTTCTAAACACAACCACACCACCTCAGGATGTCAAAGGTAAAAGCCCAGGGACCCCATGGACATTGAGTAGACCGGGGGAGAGGATAAATCCATCTTTTTAAGAGGGCTTTTTAGAGTAGTAAGCAACAAGGCGGATAGGGGATAGTAACATAAGAACATAAACATGAAGGCACATCATGCAAAGAGACAACCATAGATAGAGGCGTAAAGGGGGTGGAGGTGGGATGTGAACATTGTGGATGTCCATGTGTAACGAAGTTTCAGACTGTGGGGGCAGTGGACGAGTAGAGGAGTGGCGAACACCCACGGAATTGCCTGGAGGTGTGCTCGCTGAGCAGAGGCCTTGGGGAGAGCAGCAGAGTGAAGCGAGACGAGAGAGATTTTAAGACGGGGGTGGTAGTGAAGACGACTTGGAGACTGATTCCGGATTGGACTGAGAGTCAAGTGGAAATGACTGATCGTGGTGTCACTCTAGAGGCAGGAATGAGGCGGTAGTCTGTGCATTCTCTCTATCGACTTGTGCCACCTCATCTCGCCTCGCTTATCTCTTATGTCTCCGCTCGTCCTCTTCGTCCACAGTCTTCTCTGTCGCTCGCTCTCTCTCGGTCCCTCATTCTCCCTGTGCCCAATTCGGTCTTCTGCTCTTTTCCCTCCTTGCACCCCCTCCAATGGAACAAACTTCCCCTGTTCATAACGAAGTCCCCCCCCCCCCTCCTTAACCTCCTTCCGTCCCTCTCTTCAAGCCTCACCTCTTCTCTATTGGCCATTCTCTTCCCTCCCCTCGTCCCTGCACTCTTTCCCATCCCTCCCATACCCTTTTGTGATCCCCACGTACCCTCTATCGCGATCCTTCATTCCTCAAGCCTGGTAGTATCTAAATCAATCCATATTGTCACGGTTTTTATCTTAACTCTGTTAAACTCCTTGAATGAAGGCGCTTTGGAGGTGATAGATTCTGGGGAGGGATGGAGGACAGGCACAAGCAATAGCCACGACGAGAAGTGACAGCGACACGATCGGGATCTCGACAACAAACGGTGCAGGGCAAAGAAGTGGCTCAGCCATTTCTGAGCAAAAATAAAACACGGCCAGGTGCCACGCCAGCAGACTTAAAAAGTGGCCCCGCGTTCAAACAATAATACCGTGTGGACATCTGCATTAGTACGGAGCCGTGAAACGCAATACCGTCAAATGTAACCTTCAATTCGGATGACCAAAACAAAGCACGCATATGTTGCACACACACACGCACGCGGGCGCGCGCAGGTCATTAACAGGGACACGAAATAATCTATAAAAGTTTGGTTTGATAAGTTAATTCAGTTTGCATTAAAATATCATAAATAAATCGCACATACTTTTTTTTTGTATAAGCCCATATACCGCTTGCTAGATTTTATTTTTGCCATATAATCGCCAAACCTCTTAACATTATTTTCGTTCAACGTTTACGTTTCAGGCGATGCACCTTGTAACGTGTCGGCATTGTTAAAACTCTCGCGTCCTTATGTACAGGAGCCTCAAAGTGCCGGATCATGTTCATGGAAGACAACTTTTCTCTCTCTCTCTCTTTCTCTTTATGCATTCAGTTGTAATCAAGGTTGAACGATGGTTAAATATAGTTGCGTTAATAACGTTTAAACATGCCAGAATTATATGCAGTGGTGCGGAGATAAAACCTTGGACGAGTGGGCGAAACCGCGGAGTGAAAGGGGAGGCGGGGAGGCACCGCGAGTCAACTGATCGAATGGGCCCCAAGGGAGGTGAGGGAGTTTTGAGGCCACGGACTTGCCAATTGTCTTGAGCGCGACCACGGCAATAATCTTAAAATTCACCACGCTCGGAGGAGCATGGGGCGGTGCTGGTTTCCCCCTTGGCAGTTCCCGAGTCGGTCGTAGAAATTCCACATGTTGTATGACGGGACCACTACTGTCAATAATGACGAAGACGGTCCGCTCGTAGAGGTATCCACCGCTCAGTGCTCATTCGAGCAAATGGAAATTGAAGTTAGGTATCAGCTGCATTACCGTAAGGTGTAAATGCATCCTTGCATACTGCTTGGTAGCTAAAATAAAGCATCACCATTGTTGACGTTGTTGTTAGAGTTGCATTGCGAATGTCCAATGTTGTACCAGAGTGTTAACAATTCACATTTGGATTTGCAAGTCGGGCGACGCGTCAACGAATGCATCCAGATGCACTCCGTAGGGTTGATTTACAGAGTACCTCCCCTCTCATCTCCGGCACAACAGCAGCACTGTTATCCCAAAAGTAACGCCTCCTCTCCGTTGTTTATGAAACGAGGAGCAAGCTCGTGGCCTCGCAAGGGCTTCAAACGTGCTCCTTGTTAGCGTCGCCTTCATCCTCATTCGTGGCCCCACCGATCTCTGATACGGGGACTCCTCCACTTACGAACACTCGACTTAGGAACTTTCAGAGATATGAACAATCCTGGTCCGTGTGTCCAGTTGCCCTGTTCGGACCGAGATACGCAAGTTCAACCGCTGCGCAACAGACGGTGGTGGTGGCACCTACATCTGTAGAACATGAAGAACCAGTGGCCTCTACAGGGAATTATGCAACTTTTAAAGTCATTCCCCGTGTTTAGTGTACATGTCGTGCAGCATGTTTGGAATCGACAGGAGTAAAGTTGGACTTACGAACAAATCGACTTACGTACAGACCTCTGAAACCTAACTCGTTCGTAAGTAGAGGAGTCCCTGTATATCCCCCTACAGCCCCTCCCATCGCTCCTTACAGCCCCACATTTTCAGGTGGAACAGACACCAACACTTCAATAGTCGCAGCACTCTGTGTGTACGGATTCTGGGCGGCACACGGTACACGCAAAGGTGTGGACTATGGGAGTTGTGCATCTTTCCGCCACCCTCTCGCTTATTTCGCTAAATTCAGGCAGATGGCGGAAAACAAGGGGGCCGCTGATTGGACATTGCGACGAGTACATTGGTGATATGCGTATGAAGCAGAGAGTGGCAAGAATCAAATTCTTCATAGCTCGATTCCACCGCTGATCAAATTCCTGTCCACTCTTTGTTCGGTTTACCCAGTGCCCCACTGCGCTAACAACAAGAAAACAACGCTCGGCTCTTTCGAGGACGTTCTCAATCGGTGGCATGCTTCCATTCGTCCATGCATTACTTCTGGGCTAACGCCTACTGCGTCGACGCTCCCTCAACCCCCTCTCCCACCGTCCCGCGGCGCAGCCCACGATCAGCGCCCACGGTCACGACCGCCGAGGCGTCCGATGGCTCAAATGGCAGAGGGTGTCAGTGTTGGGGGGAGTAACGGATTTTAGTGTAATCACATCGGCCAGTTTCGGTAAACCCGTATTCATGCCCAGTGGCTGCCATTACTTCGGTCGATTATTTTGTTTTGTTATGATTTGCGTTTAATTATATTCGTGCGATGTGGGGAATGTACGCGGTCGGCAGCATTAGGTTATTGCAGAGACAGCGGCAGCCAATAATGCACACGTGATCACGATACACAGACTCCAGTCGTGGCATAGATGTCGTTAATTCTGTGATGCAAACGGCGCGTTAAAATCAAATCCCAGCGAGGGCTCAAATGATAACGTCCTCTCTCTGGGAGGTGGTGATGGCGGGGGGGGGGGGGGTCTATAAAATCGGTACAACTTTGTGCGAAGTCAAAAGTGGTTGTCATACGGATAGCCTGGTCCTCTGCCATAGGAAATGTGGAATTTCCACCGCTGGACTGCCGACACAGGCGAGCACCGCTCCGACGGCCATTCGAGCGTGGAGAGGCCACCCGCGACTTTCTGTCCCGAATCGAGTCGTGAAAGTTATCAAGCACCGCAAAGAGCCCATGGTAGACGGGATTACGTCACATTACTTCCACAACCTCGGGCAAATCAGCTGTCGGGAAGTCGAATTACTTCGCCCCCCCCCCCCCCTAAAAAAAAAAACAATCACAACCCCAACACTGTGCTGGAGAGGGTGTGACGGTGGGCGATGGCTGGTTCTGCGACGCACTTCGCATGCAAGGATGGGAGGGGGTGGCTGGGAGGGTGGACGCGGATTCCGGTGCAGAGGAGAGTGGTTTTTTTGGTTCAGCATGCAGACAAAAGTCTTCCACAGCGCCCGCTCAGTTCTGGAGCTCCGAGCTGGCACGCAAAGTGCAGTCCCCCGGTTTATTACACAAAGCAGCATTTGCAAATCTTCTGTCCAGAGGGTGCCGCGGGGGTGGATTTTTTTTTGCACGTTTACAAACGACGACGCACCAAGAACAAGGAGGGGGGGGGGAGAATAAATAAAAGTTATCCTTCGCTGTTGAAATTCCGTGAAAGAGTTCATTTGTTTGCGACTTTGACAGTTTTTTTTTTTCAATTGACCTGCTTGGCTTCCTTAGGAAAATGCCCACTGTTGTTTGTATTTATAACTTCTCCGCTCCTCCGTCTGCATACAAATTGCTTTATTTACAGTTTTTTTTCTTTTTACCCAGTGATTACAACTTGAGTTATTCTCTCATTGGTGTTGTGGTCCGGTGTTGACACATTGCAGACTTAAAGTGCACAATACTCTTCGAATGGGAATCTTAATCCTGTCCTGCGACCACTGGGACTTCACAGGCTCGGCTGTCGTTGGGGTCTAGACCAATGAGACGGGTTTGTGTTGTTCCTTAATCGCGGTATTTCTTCTTTCACATCTTAAACAAAGTCTCTCCTTTCTTGTTGATAGGGGTGACTTTGGAAGCACTTACAAGTGCTAGGTATTGCTTAAAAAAGCCACACATTAGTTATCTGTGTGCCCGATAGGCAGTGTGTGTGTGTGCACCGTATATACACGTGTATGTGCGAAATTGTGTGTGCACGTGTAAAGACAATGTACGAGTGTGTTTTGCACACCGCCTTACAATCTCAACGATCTGGGTCTGATGGCATTCCATGATGCACAATAGCTGTGTCAACACTGATATCTAAAGCTGGCCTAAGTTGAGTACCCGGTGCAGTGGCATCATCGAAGAGAGCAATGGGGAGACGAGAGGAGGCCCGGCATGCGTGTCGCTGGCCACCGCCATTTCCTCACTCGTGCCTTGCCGGCAACGCTTGCACCCAACAGTCTATAAGGCTAAACGAGACGGACATCCGCGCGTGTGCATCGTTACATTTAGGCTACGTGTCACATGCAGACAAAAGTCCATCGTTTAAAAATCTCCCGTAAAACATCAACACCGATTCCTTCCTCTGATTTCTTTCGCTCGGTTCACCCCGGCGAACGGCTTGGGGAGGAGATCACGCGAGTGGAGCGCCTCGCTGAGACGACAATAAGTTACGCACATTAACCCTCGCTGAGTAAAATAAAAACAAATGTTCACGGCTGCACCTCGATTTATAACGACTCCGCCCTCAAGCGCCGTCGGCCGGTCCTCTGCCTTCGCTCGAGGGAGACCTAGACTCCGTCGCAGCCGCTGCCATTCTCCCCATCGTCCGCCACCAAGCTTCTCCTGGACCCCGAGGCTGCCCCACCGCACGTGCCGCTCTTGACACCCAGCGAAGCCGTCCTCGGCCTCACCAGCGGATCCTCCGCCGCCGCCGCTTTCAGCAGCAGCAACTCGGAGAGGCTCCCGACGGAGCCGCGTCCCGCACAGCGCGGCCCTCGCGGTGCGCCGCCGTCGCCGGGCACAGCCAACAACGACGGCGGCAGCGCGCGTCCGCGCTCGCGCCCATGGCCGTCGGGACAACGCTCATTCTGCTGCTGCTGCTGCTGATGATGATGATGGAGCTGCTGCTGATGGAGCTGATGACTAACAGGCGGCGTCCCCGTCCTCCTCGCCAGCGACTCGTACGAAATGCAGCGTCGCCGAGCCTCCGGGGCTCCTCGCGCCGCGGTCTCCGTGGCGTCCCCCGGCGCCACGACGGTTATGAGCGGCGGCGACGGCGGCGACGGCGACGTCGGCGCTTTCCGCCACCCGATTCCGACGCAGACCTTCGAGCCGCCGCCGCCGCAGCCGCCACCGTTGGACGCCCGCGGCGGCGAGGGCGGCGGACGGCGGGACGAGCAGCCCGTCGGCCCGTCGCGTGGGTAAACGTCCACCGAGTGGCGTCGTTGCATGCGGACGACCCGGGCCCGCTCGTGGAGGCCGCCGCCGCCCCCGGCGTGAAGCCGACCGGCCGCCGCCGTCATCCCGTCCGCGTGAGCGTCGGGAATCAGCTCGGGTGCCGGAGGCCGGTGGAGGGCGCCGTCGGGCGAGGCTCGCGGCGACCCATCTGCGGGAGAGACGCCGCGGCTGCGTCGGCGCCCCGGAAGCTCCACGTGCCTCGGGGACCGGTCGGCAGCCGTCGCCTCCTGCGCAAGGAGGCGTTGCATCCCAGTTGACACTGCCAGGCACTCTGACCCTCGGCGCCGCCGCACTCGACACCGGTGCCACTCGCACGCGGTGGGCTGCTGAGGGCACCACTGTGAAGTATATAGAGTGGTCCAAATGTCTTGTGACCCCCCCCCCCCAAAAAAAAATGAATTGACCCTTTATATATTTTTCCGTTTGCACATTCATTTCTGTTGTAAATAAACTTTTCTTAAAAAAAAAGCATAATGGAATGGGGGTCACAAGCCATCTGGGCCACCCTGTACATGTGTGCTCTCCGCATTCACAATGCCACACACAGACCAGCGTGATGAATTACAGTCGATTTACACCCCACGAGCCGTGCGGCGTGGGAGGGGCTGGGGGGTGGAGGGGGACTGGGGGGGGCTCTCATCCAGCAGTGGATTAATAGAGGGCTTTACATCTACAACGCTCGCACGGATGTGCTCCCGCATGGCCATTATGAGCACAGGTTGGCACGTGATCACCGAGCGGACACGCTCGTTTCGCCCTCACTTCACGTGAGGTGCCGCACGCCTGTCAATGTGTAGGTTTGAAGGGGCAAGGGTTGTTAATCGGTTAGCGAACGATTATCGTTTACGGAATCGATTATCGGTCACAGTTCAATCTTGGTAACAATCGACCCGTATGAACCGTGAGAGCGTTAACAGCGCACGGCGTGCTCAAACGTGATTGGTCGCGAGGTAGCCCATTACATGCACCATATAAGTATGTGTATATCCAGTATTAGAAAAAAATACATTGCTGTTCACTGCCTTATAAAGGCCTCATCATGCCGTGTCAGTCACGGGGCATGTTTAACCAGACTGCACCACGCCAGGCGATTATCGATGACGCAACAAGCGAAGGTAACAACCCGAACTGAAGGTGGCAGATTGCATTCTACGGCTTGAACCACACACATGGCGGTGGTGGTAGCGACGGGTGATGCATATTGACCCACTGCAATGATGGTGTTGGGGATGATGATGAAGGTGTTGTCACAGCAGGGGCACAAACCTCAACCTCCTGCGTCACAGGTCCCCCACTGCGGCCACTGGCCGAGCTTGACAGTGTCCCCTCTGCCACCGCCATGCCACAGCCTGCCGTGGAACCTGCCACAGAGGCGCAATGACATCAACATCGTCATCGGATGCAGCAGGAGCAAATGCATTATTAGCAGCAGCAAGAGCAATGATCATCAACATCAGCAACACTAACAACTTCATCATGATCAGCAACAGTATCAACTGCATACGGATTATCATGATCATTATCATCATGAGCAGTATTAACAGTATCAATGGCACTGGTGGAATCGCGATCATCAGGCTGATCGTTTGGCTTTTTGCTTTGAAGAAGAAGAAGGGAGAGTTCCCAAGATGTCAGCCTATTATGCATGTTTCTGTTGCAGGGCACTGGTAATGATGAATGCGGCTATTTTTTGTTAACGTATTTATTTTCATGTGTGCCTGTGCACGACTCTCAGTGCAAGATGACGACGCCAGATCCTGCAGCTACCGCTGCACATTTGACACACGACCTCTTGGATCTGTCCAGCGACCTCTAGGACCTCTCGGATCTGTCCAGTGACTTCTCGGACATCTATTACCTGGAACATCTGTTCAGTGACCTCTAGTACCTCTAAGATCTCTCCAGTGACCTCTCGGACCTCTAGGATCTGTCCAGTGACCTCTAGGACCTCTCGGACCTCTAGGATCTGTCCAGTGACCTATAAGACATCTAGAATCTGTCCAGTGACTGCTAAGACCTATATAATCTGTCCAGTAACCTCTAGGATCTGTCCAGTGGTCTACAGGACCTCTCGGACCTCTAGAAGCTGTCCAATAACCTCTAGGACCTCTAGGATCTATCCAGCGGTCTCTAGAATCTGTCCAGCGGCCTCTAGAATCTGTCCAGCGGCCTCTAGGATCTGTCCAGTGACCTCCAGAATCTGCCCTCACAGTCTCCCATCATCTTAGGTCTTGTCGTCCCTTTGGTCGCCGGACTCTTGGTGACTGCGACCAATGCCCGTCTCGGTAATTGGACCTCTCCCACCTTATGCACATGCGTATTTTGTCTAATCGCATGGGACAGCCAGGCCTTCGTCTCAGCGGTGGGATTGACAAAGGGCTGTACATTATTATTTATATTTGTCCCCTGAGCCACTCGGTCAAAGCTGCCATGGTGTAATGGTCAACCCCACCAAACCCATTCCAAAGGTCTGCATTTCCATTTGATGTCTCAGTTTAAACAATGGGGCAGGTTTCTTAGGGCCAATGTCCACGCAATCTGCAGACCGGGTTCGGTGGGGTACACACTTTTTTGAAGATGTTTGCTCGGCGTGGAACGGGGAAGCCAACAATCCTCTAGAGGAGCTCTCTGGAGCTCCTTCTCGTGGAGGCCCTGCCACCAGCAGTGGAGCGAGCAGGGCATTGCATGTCCACGCCATCGCCATTACCCTTTCCCCACCTGGCAACTTCAGATGCATCGCCTCCTCCTGGACGCTCACCTGATTTCTGAGCCGCCCGATTTGGTTCCACCTCCGGCATTCTGCTACTCTCAGAGGCTCCCTGCTGCTGCTGCTGCTGCTGAGAGTCGGGCGTGCTCGTGAGGACATCGCTGGGCAGCGAGAGGGCTCGGCTGACCTCGACATGCCGCACCGCGGGCAGCAGCAGTGTCTGCTCCCCCAGGGTCTCGAGCCGGGGGCCTTCGTCCACGCTCTGCGGTGGGGAAGCAAATCATGCGCGCGTGCAAGCACACGCACGTCAGATATGCGCAGAGCGTGCGCGTAATGCTGCGTTGGCAGTGGCGCGCAAGCAGAAATAACGAGGACCACACATTCGTCAGTAACGCTGCCCGAAACAGGAAAACACATATAAATACATCTCTAGCGCATAGTGTGCTAACCGCATGTGCGTGTGAGTGCGTGTATGTGTGTGTGTGTGTACATGTGTGTGGCAATATTTACACAAAATATTGCCACCAGGTGTGGTTGTTGGCCACCAACGCCCTCGGCTTGCCGTGCCGGCCTTCATAGGTGCTCGCTAACAGCACTTGCCTCAACAGTCTGTTAAGGCTATACAAGGGACATTTGTCTTTTTGTACACACGTGTGCATTGGCCATTTCGATAAACGTTCAGATATCGCGGCCAAGGCCCAGTGGTAGCGCGTTCGCCGCTTATTGTAGAGGTTCGTGGTTCGATCCGGCAGGCCGCCCTGGTTATTGCTGCCTTCGAATTAACAAGAGCAGTGGTCGCGATTGGTCGCACGACGTTATTTGAGACGAGTAGCTACAAGCTGTGTGCCGGCGTTATGGTCTGAAGTTGCCAAATTCGTAGAAGTTACCCACAAGCAACTCAAACGGTTTACACTCAGCAACATCGCCCCTTGCTGTACAACTGTGGCAGGCTGTTTCTGTGAAACACTGCGCCTTCTCGCTAGCCTCGCACTCCAAGAATGGTACGAATATCAAATGTTATAAACTAAAAACGTATCTATTTTAGTTTTATTTTACCAGTTAAAGCCCACTGAGCTGTATATAACTCTTTTTCTTTCCAGATGCGACCTGGCCAGAAATGATAGCTCAACAAAGTGGCTCATCGTGTGGATGTTTATAGCAGCCAAAAAACTCTAAACACACGTTGATTTTAATTGCAGAGGGAAAAATCCGAGTACACGGAGGAAAATCCAGGTGACTACGGGGAATGAGACATGCAAGCTCCGAATATACAGGTGACAGGTGTCAGGGTCCAGGGTCGGGATTGAACCCACGGTCTCCTGTATAGCAGGTGAGAAAGTAAACATCTTAGCACCACGGCGCCACCAATTCACTGACCCACTCGCCACTAACCAACTCACTAGCTCGCCGGGTTCATAGCCGCGGCACGCTAACCCGCAGCGCCGCCGGTGACGATCGACAGGGGGACGCGCGACTCGCCTCCACGCTGGGCCTCCGGAACGTGAGCTCGCTGCTCAACCGGCCGGGGGGCCGAGCGGCGCGGAGCTCCAACCCTGAGCGGCGAGGGTTCGATCCCCTGCTCCCGGCCAACGCCGCCGCCGCCGCGGCGGAGGACGAGGACGCGACGCAGCGGAAGTGCGACGGGGAGAACGACGGCGACGAGACGGACGCGAGCGCCGGGTTGCCGCCGGGGTTCGCGGTCGGCACCGCGATGCCCAGGAGGCGGGCGGTGGCACTGGGCAGGCCGGAGGCGCCGATGATCCCGGCCGCGATGCGCGCCGCGTTCTCCTCCTCCTCTTCCTCGTGCGCGTCCTCGGCGCTGTCCTCCAGGTGCTTCATGAGCACGGCCACCACGACGTTGACGAGCACGAACTGCGCCGTGAGCACGAACGTCACGAAGTAGATGGGCGAGATGACGGGCAGGTAAGAGATGCACTGCCGGTCGAGGCTGCTGCACTCGCGCAGCGTGTCCTGGGCACGTGGGGGCGGGCAGGCGCGGGGAAAGAGGTGACGGTGCTGCCCTGCAATTGCGTGCTCACTCTCTGACGCGCTACTGCACCCCCCCCCCCCCTTATTTACCCAGGAGGGTGTCAACGAAGTCTCAAGAGTTCGCTTTTTGTAAGGGATGTTTTGACAAATTTAATTTCAGCGACCGTTTTTTTTTTATGCAGGAGGAATCCGGGGCACACAGATAAAACCGACCGTGCGTACAAGGGAAAGGCTAAACACAACATTCATACTGGGAGGTCAGGAGCCTGCTTGCTCTACTGCCACCGGCTGGGCACCCTGAAGCTGATCGGGTGTTGAAGTCTCACATCGCCTGGTTATTTCTGCGAAATTCTGCGCATTTAAATAAAAAGTGATTCGACTGCCATGCAGATTAAATTCATCTCTGTAACAGGGTGGATTGGAAAAAAAAGTGCTGCCCTTAGTGTAGGAAAAATGACACTTAAATAGATTTCGGAAGTAGTTATGTGATATCTCCTTCCACTCACCATTCCCTGTCATGTGGTGGGTGCTATGCTGTATGTACAGTGAGGGAAAAAAGTATTTGATCCCCTGCTGATTTTGTACGTTTGCCCACTGACAAAGAAATGATCAGTCTATAATTTTAAAGGTAGGGTTATTTTAACAGTGAGAGACAGAATAACAACAACAAAAATCAAGAAAAACGCATGTAAAAAATGTTATAAATTGATTTGCATTTTAATGAGGGAAATAAGTATTTGACCCCCTCTCAATCAGAAAGATTTCTGGCTCCCAGGTGTCGTTTATACAGGTAACGAACTTAGATTAGGAGCACACTCTTAAAGGGAGTGCTCCTAATCTCAGCTTGTTACCTGTATAAAAGACACTTGTCCACAGAAGCAATCAATCAATCAGATTCCAAACTCTCCACCATGGCCAAGACCAAAGAGCTCTCCAAGGATGTCAGGGACAAGATTGTAGACCTACACAAGGCTGGAATGGGCTACAAGACCATTGCCAAGCAGCTTGGTGAGAAGGTGAAAATAGTTGGTGCGATTATTCGCAAATGAAAGAAACACAGAAGAACTGTCAATCTTCCTCGGCCTGGGGCTCCATGCAAGATCTCACCTCGTGGAGTTGCAACGATCATGAGAACGGTGAGGAATCAGCCCAGAACTACACGGGAGGATCTTGTCAATGATCTCAAAGGCAGCTGTGACCATAGTCACCAAGAAAACAATTGGTAACACACTACGCCGTGAAGGACTGAAATCCTGCAGCGTCCGCAAGGTCCCCCTGCTCAAGAAAGCAGATATACATGCCCTTCTGAAGTTTGCCAATGAACATCTGAATGATTCAGAGGACAACTGGATGAAAGTGTTGTGGTCAGATGAGACCAAAATGGACCTCTTTGGCATCAACTCAACTCGCCGTGTTTGGGGGAGGAGGAATGCTGCCTATGACCCCAAGAACACTATCCCCACCGTCAAACATGGAGGTGGAAACATGCTTTGGGGGTGTTTTTCTGCTAAGGGGACAGGACAACTTCACCGCATCAAAGGGACGATGGCCGGGGCCATGTACCGTCAAATCTTGGGTGAGAACCTCCTTCCCTCAGCCAGGGCATTGAAAATGGGCCGTGGATGGGTATTCCAGCATGACAATGACCCAAAACACACGGCCAAGGCAACAAAGGAGTGGCTCAAGAAGAAGCACATTAAGGTCCTGGAGTGGCCTAGCCAGTCTCCAGACCTTAATCCCATAGAAAATCTGTGGTGGGAGCTGAAGGTTCGAGTTGCCAAACGTCAGCGTCGAAACCTTAATGACTTGGAGAAGATCTGCAAAGAGGAGTGGGACAAAATCCCTCCTGAGATGTGTGCAAACCTGGTGGCCAACTACAAGAAACGTCTGACCTCTGTGATTGCCAAGAAGGGTTTTGCCACCAAGTCCTAAGTCATGTTTTGCAGAGGGGTCAAATACTTATTTCCCTCATTAAAATGCAAATCAATTCGTAACATTTTTGACATGCGTTTTTCTCGATTTTTTTTGTTGTTATTCTGTCTCTCACTGTTCAAATAAACCTACCATTAAAATTATAGACTGATCATTTCTTTGTCAGTGGGCAAACGTACAAAATCATGTATGTTGAACTTCTTTTGCACTGTACGTAGCCAACAAACTAAACACATTGGATTGGAATCTCCGTCTCATGCTGAAGCCGCCGATATCAAAACTGGGATAGAATCGGGGCGGAGTTGGGGGGACGAGGAAGGATATAATAAAAAAAAAGACGAAAAGAATAAAGTGAGGACGGAGTCAGTCGAGTCGTGCGTGTAAAAGCTCACGCAGCTAAATTTAAAACGAGATCGTGAACACGATGCAGCCGCACAAGTGCACAAGCGCACCCAGCGATGCGACCAAAACGAACGCCTAAAACTTTCTCGCCCCTCATTTGTCAAACCCCTCTCAATTAGGCGACAGTCGTATCCCGGCACGCGATCAATTACCCCTAACGAGCCGCCGAGCCCGATACCGGTGATGCGTCATTAATTCCAAAATATGCCTGAACCCGCTTCGCCAGGGGTGCATGTCGGGAGAGGCGCAGAGCGGTTCTGCGCCGGCAAAAAAACGAGCTGTGAGTTGCACGTTGTAAATCAGCGTGGTGGAGGCAACGACGGTTTTTTGCGACGATTTTTTGTTCGTGTGTTTAGTTTGTCGTCCTTGGCCACGTACGTCGCGTAGAATTGATGAGACTAAAGAGGGTTTCGAGAGGATTTAGACGGGAGATGAAAAGAGAGAGGTTGGAAGATACGGAGATGATGAGCTGGAAAGGAGAGGAGGTGTGGGAGCGAGCGGAGAGGAGTGGGCGAGAGGAGAGAGGAGGGAGACGAGGAGGAGGAATGGGAGAGGGCGAGGAGAGAGGCACGAAAAGAGAGTGGAAGACAAATAAGAGAGGAGGAGAGAAGATGACAACAGGAGGGGACAGAATAGAAGGGAAACAATTTTATTGTTTCATATTTTTATTATTTTATTGTTTCCCTTCTACGTGACTTTACCGAAACAACCAAGAATATGAATCCCTGCAGTCACGAAAGCTTTAAATCAAAATTTAGGAGATGGGATGCCAACATAGACAAAGAAAGAGAGAATAGAGGAGACCGAGAGAGAGAGAGAGAGACAAGAGACGGGAGAATACCGAGATAAGATAGAGTTAAGGGCGGGGGACGCCAAGGGGAAAGAAAAGAAAGAGTGCAGAGAGGAGGCAAAAAGCGAGAGGGAGACATTGTAAGGCAGAAGAGAGGATTGAAGCAACGCAAATAAGAGAGGGGAGGGAGGGGGGGGGGGGGAGAAGCAGGGGGAGGTTAGCGGGGGTCGCGTTGGCGACACCTTCATGATGCCGTTCCAGTTGTCGCCCGTGGACACGCGGAACAGCGTCAGCAGCGCCATGCCGAAGTTCTCGAACGTGGCGTGACGGCTGAGGCCCTCGCACGGGTAGTCCTCGCAAGCTGCGACCGGCACGCAACCACACATCCACCGCCGTGAATAGCCTCGCAAAGGCAGAGATTCCACCGTGTAGCCTCGACAGACCGCCAGGGCAAGTGCTGCTAAGCGAGCAGCCCTGAAGGGAACAGCGAAGGGGGTGGGTGGCCAGCACCATGCTCGGTTGCCTTTGTCTCCCCAGTGGCGATGTGTAAACATCCAACCGGGCACTCGTTAGAGGCGATCTAGGGGAGGCCCATGACCGGGACAAGTTCAGATAATCGTCGCTGGTGTTGGCCATGAGCGGGAATCGAACTCGGGGTCGCCGGGCTCGTGGAACAGCGCGCCGACCACTGCGCCAACACTCCTCAAACACTTTGCGGACTCGCACGTGGCTAAACTTCCAGCACTGTGGCCCACGCACACAGCTGTACTGACCATCGTGAGTAAACGTGAGCGCATATTACACGGAGTGAAGGCACGTAAGCACCAAACGGTAAAGGCAGCAAACACTGGCCCTAACAGCAAACTGAAATACATGCATCACATATATAAATGTAAAATACAAATGATACATTCGGAGCAGTGATGAAGGTGACGGTGGTGGTGATTGCTGTGGTCGTGGCAATGACAGTGTTGTTTGTAAGGGTGATTACAGTGATGTTATGCGTTGTTCTTTTTGGTGGCGATTGTTGGTGGCAGATGATGTCTAAGATGCCTCTAGGAGAGGCTACAGTGATGTTTATTATGACGCTGGTGGTCGTGATCGAGAATGTGCTTACAATGTTAGCCATGGGGCTCGCAGCGTTTAATCGGTGTGATGACAATGATCATCATCCTGATAGCCGTGCTTATAATGATGTAGGTCACAATGTTAGCCACGACGGTGATGACGACGATATCATTGCTGACGACGGAGAAGGTGAATGTGGTGTCCTCACTGAGTCCTCCGAAGAGCTCCACCCCCAGAGCCGCGTAGATGAAGAAGAGGAGGAGAAAGAGAAGACCCAAGTTCCCCACCTGCAGGGGATGCACACGAGTGGCGGAAATTCGACATTCCCACGACGAGGGCTAGTCTATCCTGAGAACAGCCATTATTGACAAATGTGTGCTCGTTGTGTTGACCCTGGGTGGACGATGGCTCTCCGAGTCGACCGACGAGCGGGAGTTTGAACTTGTGCCGTCACGCACAAAGCGCTTGCCACAAATGAACCACAATGCCTTGCTGAGCTCGTCAAGGAGCATAAACCATCAAGCGAACTCGCAGCATCAGCGGCTTTTCGCTAGCCATCGACAAAGACGGTCGCCGCATCGCGCGGTTTCAGATGCGCTTTTTTCGGCCGTCTGGAACGCTCTTCCTTCCGATATTAGGAAGCCACTGGAGCTATGCCCTTTTAAATAATCTAGATTAAAAACCCATTTCGTTAAGAGGTATTATTTTCCGTTTAGTTTGTTGTCCTGCCCCCACGCCTCCGATGTGCACGGTTGGTAACAAACGGTGCGAAAGAAGTTCAACATACACACGTACATACGAGTGTGAGCCGAGTGTTATAAGTTATAACCGCTGCACCACCCGGGCGGATAGCACATCTTCACGGCAATAGAGCCAGAGATTAGTCACAGCACCTGGCACACCACATCCAGTATACATCCTTATCTGCTTGCGATTACAAGTCACGCGCCTATTCAAGTCCAGCGGTGACCCGAAACACTGTCAGCGAGGGAAATGAAAGCACAAGCAGAGCATGCGTGATTATCGTGACGCTGCCGGTGCCACGCGTCGCGTGCAGGCGCTCACCTGGGGGAGCGCTTGCACCACCACTGCCAGCAGCGCCTGCATCCCCGTTGCCATCTTAACCAGCTTCAGCACTGCGCAGACACACACACAAACAAGCACGCACCCACCGCGCACAAAGACAAAGGTCCCCCGTGTAGCCTTGAGCAGGATGTTGGGGAAAGTGCTGTTAGCGAGCATCTATGAAGGCCGGCAAGGCACACGAGGGGGTAGGCGACCGAGTGGGTGATTGAGTGAGTTAGTATCGGGGTGAGTGAGCAAGCAAGCGTGTGAGTGATTGCGTGAGTGAACGTGTGCGTGAGTGTGCGAGGTGAGTGTGTGAGTCACCGCGTGTTATGCGCAGGACCCTCATGATGCGGATGATGGTCGGGTTGATGGGGAGGGAGGCACTGATCTCAATCTCCTCCAGGATAATGCCCATGATGGACAGGAGGACAATGGCCAAATCGAGCTGATTCCACCTGCACAGGTACAAAATGAACGTCAATCACAAAAACCATCACCACCATCGTCACTTACCATGTACATTTGACAACAGACGTTCCCCAACTATAGTACTGGTAATTATAAATTTGACCCGCATTTATATGAAGTTGAAGTTGTCCGTGAGGGAATACATTGGTATGATATTTAAACGCTAACCCTGCCAGCAAACCTCCAGCAATATACTGGAGGTTCATTAAACTCAATCAGGTAAGAGCCCATTGAGACAAACGTCTCTTTGTGAGTGCAGATATAACCTAAATGTCTCTCTGATTAAAAAAAAAGCAATGGGGGTGGCATTCATCTGCACTGCTGGGGCTGAGCCAGTGGTAGAAATTCAACACTGCTATGACAGACAGGGGCAGTCAAATAGCATTGCGAGTGGGGTGCTCAAGGAAGCTTGTTACAAGTTAAATAATAAATATGCAATTGACCGAGGGGAGGACAAACTTAGACGTATAGAAGCTAATTCAGAGAATTCAGTTGTATCATCATCATCATCATCAAATCGTCGCTGTGTTAAAAGCCGCCCGGGTATGTCTGCTGACCTGTCCTTGAAGTAGCGTCGAATCCCGAACGCCAGCAGCTTGAGCAAGGCCTCCAGCACGAAGACGGAGGTGAAGACGTAGTTGCAGTACTTGAGGCCCTCGTTCAGAGACTGTCAGCCACCGGCGAAACGGGCGAGAGGAGAGCGCAGTTACGACGAGGTGAGGTTACGACGAGGTGAGGTTACGACGAGGTGAGGTTACAACGAGGTGCAAGCACAATTACCAGTGACATGACGCACCCCACGGTGCTTTACCGCAAACGGGAGTGACGACGGGCTTGCTCGGCTTATGCTCTCCGTGTGCCACTGCGTGAAATCCTCGAGGCTGCTCGAGTTTGCCGCGCGCGTGCGTACGTACGCACGCGCGCGTGTGCGCGTGCGACATGCGTGCGACATGCGTGTGGCCTCGACAAGGCCGACTCGGCCATGAATGAGAACCGCGTGCGTGCGTGAGTGTGAGCAAGGGGGAGAAGTTCCACTGTAGCTTGCGCGAACGCGCAACGATCCTTTGGGCACATGGCCGGCAGTCGCCTGCCCACAGGTAACGTCAGCTGCCAGGCGGCACCCGGACCTGCCGTGAACCTTCCTCACCTTGCCGGCTCGGCCTCAAATGAGCACCCTGCGCGGAGTGTGAAACGTCAGCATTTGGTGAGGACAAACGGGGCCAGGCCGTGGTTCTGACCACCACCATCACCACCACCACATCTCTCGTGTGGTGCCAGCCTTAACAGCGTGTTTCGCAAACAGCACCTGGCCCAACAGCCTGTCCGTGGCTACACGGTGGACGGGAGGGGGGAGGGGGTTCATTGTCTTTGTGCGCGTTGCACCTTGGGCTGGTTGTAGTGCTCCATCGCCATGGTGAGCACGTTGAGGCCGATGAAGGCGGTGATGAAGATGTCCAGGTAGCTTGACGTGCACACCGAGTGGATGAAGAGGCGCACGGGCGAGTACTCGGAGTAGTAGGGCTTCTTCTGCGCCTCTGGAGGAGCGGCGTGCGTGAAAGACAGCGACAATCACCATCGTCAGGAACCGTAGCAGCAGCAGCAGCAGTAACAACAACATCTCCACGACGATGATGATGATGTTCACGATAGTGCTCAATCATGCTCGGCCTCGATCTGTACTCGCATCGTCACAACTGGTACCACGATACCAACTGAGATGTACAGTGTGTCCTTAAATTATTGGGCGTGTGCAGGGGTGGAGTGCTCCAGTTGCAGCTGTTTTCTTAACAAAACCCTGTTATTGCCTATTGTAGCCTGCTTGTATTATTATCTCCACTACCTGTACCACTGTGATGATAATCAGCACCACCACCGTTATCACCACCATATTCATCACTAGCAGGATTAAAAAAAAAACACCACGATCAGCATCATCACCGCCATCCTCATCACGAGCAGAATTACAATCACTACCAACCACTAGGATCAGCATCATCATCATGATCACCATCCTCATCACTAGCATAATTATAAACATCACCACCATGATCATCATCGTCATCGTCATCACCACCATCATCCTCCTTGTCATCACGGCCGGGGTGGGGGGCACCGGATGGGCTTACTGCGTCGCTTCTTCTCGGCCCTCTTGAGCCTCTTCTCCTCGCGAAGTCGCGCTTCCTCGGCCTCCTGGTGCTGCCGGCACTTGTGGAAGTTCTCCACCACGACGCCCACGAACATGTTGAGCACGAAGAAGCTGACGAGCAGCAGGAACGAGATGAAGTAGAGCAGCATCCACGGGTTGTAGTTGATGACGGGCTGCCCGGGAAAGAGCGGCAAAGGCGTCACGCCACGTGCGTGCGTTTGATCCGTTGGTTAAAGCCCCACGTGAGACGTTTCTGCATTGCAACGTCTGGTGGGGTGGGGGTTGGTGTTGTGTGGAGTTGGAGGGATTTGTGGCGATTTATATTGAAAAAACAGAACAATTAGTAAGCAGACACTTATGTATGTGTGTGTGAACGTCGGACTTCTTTCGCGCCGTACGTGGCCGACCGTGCTGATCGGAGGGCCGGGGGAAGGACAATAAACTAAACAGAAAAAAAGCAGTTCTCAAGAAATGAGAAAAAAAATTAAGTTCTAAATAGTTGTCTTTGGACAGCGGTAGCAAGCGCAACATCGTTGTCAGCACTAACAAAGACAAATATTTCCCGCTCCTCCCCCCCATATCTAGGACGACAGAGCTTGGGAAATTGTTGGTACCGCAATAAATGCCTGCCTTCCTACTTGTGTGCAGTGTCCCGCACCTGTGTGCTTGTCTACACATTCTATCGCGTTCCGAGATGTGATTTGCATGAATGGGGCTTCATGAAAATAAAACATTATTATCATTAGTGTTGCCTTCTTGTTGAAATCGCATTGCTGTTTGAGAGTTCCTCTTAAGGCCGGCAATAGAGCACACAGTGACGGTGTGACGAGAATGGCCTTTGTCTTCCCAGTGCTGATATTTACACACTACAGCAGGTTTTAGGCTGATGGGCCTAAGGGAGGCCACCTGAATTAGTTAAAATATTTGCCACCAATATTATCTGTGGCCTGGGAAACGAATCGGGGTCACGGGGTTCGTATTACGGTGAGCGAACCTCTGTGGTACCACTGTCGCCACCAGTAACGGCGCTGTAATCATCATCGTCATTAGAAGTAGCAGAAGCAGTCACAACCGCAGCAGCGACACTGTTATCAAAATAATCATTATCATCAACAGCAGTAGAATCATGCACTTGTCATGACGAGCAATAACATTGACATCGACAGGAGAACAATCATCAGCAGCTGTAGCAGGATCAACACTGTTAGAAAAATAATCATCAGGAATATCATCGTTATCAGAAACATCAATCGTCATGAGCATCACGATTATCACCGGAAGCAGCAGCAAAGGCGGAAATGCTATTTCCATCATGATTATCATCACCACCACAATCACAATCAACATCATCAGGAGCTGCAAGATTATCACTGTCAGTCGAATTATTAACAGCATCATAATTACCAGCATCATCACCAGCAGCAATACCTGCAGTATCAATATTTTCTAACATTATGAGAAGCAGCATGAAAATATTTTTTGTCATTTATACCGAAACTACTGTACGATTATACCAATTGTTTAACTTAAAAATGTACAACATTTCAGTACGAAAAAATCATTACCAAAAAATAATCATTTAAAGACATCGTGAGTGCACGGTAAGTGGACAATGCGGGCCACTAGCAATGATGTGAACAGACACACGAAGTCACCACAAGGTGGCAGAAGGAAACCATTGTATCGTCAAAAAACATCAAGCCACGCAAAATATAACCTCGGTCTGCACGGAACTTTCAACTCCCTCTTGACGTAGCCTCAAACAAGGGGTCGGATAGCATTGCCATCTTTCCCACTGCAGACCAAACCCAGACATATTTCACAGTCAGCCGAGCCGAGGGGTCAGCAACTAAAATAACAAGAAGAGACATCTGTTTCGAATTCGGTAAAAGAATATAAACATCCCCTTAATATTTCAAGAGCAGCAATGCACGTGGCGAATACGAGACGACGATCCTTCATAAATAACGTCACGGGACATTCCCTTAAAGAGGCGGCATGCGGCTCCGGAGCCGAAGGCTGCCGACCCCTGCCCATGGTGAGCTGGATTTCCATGGTAAACTGGACTCCCATGGTGAACTGGATTTCCATGGTAAACTGGACTCCCATGGTGAACTGGATTTCCATGGTAAACTGGACTCCCATGGTGAACTGGATTTCCATGGTAAACTGGACTCCCATGGTGAACTGGATTTCCATGGTAAACTGGACTCCCATGGTAAACTGGATTTCCATGGTAAACTGGACTCCCATGGTGAACTGGATTTCCATGGTAAACTGGACTCCCATGGTAAACTGGATTTCCATGGTAAACTGGACTCCCATGGTGAACTGGATTTCCATGGTAAACTGGACTCCCATGGTGAACTGGATTTCCATGGTAAACTGGACTTCTATGATAAACTGGATTTCCATGGTAAACTGGACTCCCATGGTGAACTGGATTTCCATGGTAAACTGGACTCCCATGGTGAACTGGATTTCCATGGTAAACTGGACTCCCATGGTGAACTGGATTTCCATGGTAAACTGGACTCCCATGGTGAACTGGATTTCCATGGTAAACTGGACTCCCATGGTGAACTGGATTTCCATGGTAAACTGGACTCCCATGGTGAACTGGATTTCCATGGTAAACTGGACTTCTATGATAAACTGGATTTCCATGGTAAACTGGACTCCCATGGTGAACTGGATTTCCATGGTAAACTGGACTCCCATGGTAAATTGGACACCCGTAGTCAGGGGTTGGCCATTAAAATAACAAGAAGTGCCAGATAAAAGTAATATTTTAAGAGCAGCAGTGCATTTGAATACAAGACGGTGGTCCTGAATAAATAACGTGACAAAGCAGTCCTTAAAGAGCCGTGATTATTTGGCCGTCAGCGGGCGAAGAAGTGTCCTGATTAAAACGAAAACACAGACAATGTAAAAGATGCACAAATCAGGCTAGGAAAACATACATTTTTGTTGACGTATACAGAATGAGCGTGAGGACTAGAATGCAGTCCGTTGTGACTGTTGAAGTAACTGGTCATCGGGTAAGGCGCGGATGCCGAGTGTGGAACATTACACATTCACTATTCTTGGGGTCTTTCGATCGCAACACAAGCAGTCGACCGCTTGTTTTGCGATCGAAACGTCGTAGTTTTTTAATTTTCTTTGAACCTATCTACGTGACTTTACCGAAAGACCCAAATAATAATAATGTGAATTACTGCAGTCACGGACGCTTTGAGTCAAGATTTACACATTTACTGTTTCTGTTACTTTTTTTTTCACGAGCACAATTAATCCGGAACGCGTTTACATCCACCCACAGACAACCCGTTCACTAACCGCAATACAAATGAGATGATTAAAACGAGACGGACGACTACAGATCCTCAAACCGAACCGTGGTCCTCAATCGGGACAATTCATCACGTCGACAGGGGCGCGGGTGGCGGTCGGGGACCGTTACACCTCCGCTGCCGCCGCCGCTGCCGCCGCTGCTGCTACTGCCCGTAGGCTGCAAGAGATGCGAGAGCGCCGTGTGTGGGGGAGAGAGAGAGAGTGAGAGGAGATGACAGTGGAGCTGAGTTGTACCTGCTGATCGAGCCCCACGGCATCGAGGCCGGTGTACATGATGTTCACCCAGCCGTCCTTGGAGGACAAAACGAACAGCGACATCAGGGCCTGAAAGCACAAGCGCACACGCCTTAGCAAACAAAGACAAGGGTCTCCCGTGTAGCCTTTAACAGACTGTTGGGGCAAGTGTTGTTTGCGAGCACCTATGAAGGCCGGCACAGCACACCAGGGGTTGCGTGGCCAGCATCTTGCCTGGCCGCTTTTGTCTTCCCAGTGCTGATATTTGTACACTGAGTGGATCTAGGGGATGCCCAGGACCAGTTCAGACAACTACTTGCCGCTGATGCGAGCCGTGGAATGGAATCGAACGCGGGTCGCCAGGTTCTCAACCAATTGTAAAGTGGCCCTCAGTATCCACTGCACAAGACAGAGAGGCTCTTTGATTGGATTTATCCTTTCCTTGACTATTCACGCACTCGAACTTGTTGTGTACGTTGAACTTTGTTCGCACCGTATGTAGCCAACTGTGCTAATCAAGTGGTTCACACACCTGCCCGAGGTTGTCGAAGTTGTACTTGTGTTTCAGCCACTTGTAGTTGGCCCTCAGGCAGTCGGACTTGTTGGTGATGTTCTTGGTGTCCAGGCCCTCGCAGTAGTAAAACTTCCCCTTGAACAGCTGCGAGAGAGTGCGGCGGACAGGGGGGAGAGGCAAAGGCAGGCAACTTCAACCACCGAGACGAGCAAAACATCGCAATCCGCGTTCATCAATCAATCAATTGACCACTAATTAACCACTCGTTAAAAAAAACACACGAACCCCATCGCCATTAACACGGTTTTATGACTGAAGAAAATATATATATAAATTCATAGCCGCTGTGTAAAATGGTAATTGCCCAAAATGTTTGAATCTGTTGAAGTGAAATTTCCTCATACATTATCATGCGTTTGTTGTGTGCTTGTACATCACTGCCAATGCAATCTCTTGTTTGCTTTTAGCTGCTTCCCTCCCAAATTATATTCCAATTGAGCGTTCAGCATCGTATGATTAGATTCTTTTTTTAAATGTAATCAGAAATTCTGCAGTGAAGATGATGTCACGGACCTACTTCTGACGTCACTTCAACAGGCATCTTCATCCACACTCGACGCATATTTCTACTTGCTTCTGTGCTATACTTTAATTAATTTATCTTGCTTTCATCAATTCCGTGACCCAGGTCACGATTGCAAATTAGACTCTATCCTGGTCTCTTGATTACACAAAATCAACTCGAACTTAGAACTTCAACCTTTTTAATGCCCTGCAAAAAAAAGTGTTCACGGCATATACGAAACGTGAACCAAATGATGAAGTCTCAGAGCTGGAATAAGGCAAATTAAAGCAACAAAAATGAAAGTGTAGGTACGGTGTTTTTTTTTTGTGTGTGCACACGGGTTATCAGTGACGGGGCACAGCCCATCGCTGATCCTCACTCCACCTGAGAAGCCGCTTCAACCACGGGCTGCCATCGCCTGGGCTTGTGATCTCCACAGACCTCAGCGGTGCCAGCTCATCGAGCCTGACCCCTCAGCCACCGAGCCACCACACAAGTCCATACATTTGATTTGAATCGATAAATCAATCGCTGCGTATTCGTAGCCTTTCCGAGTTGTAGATCGATTCGTGCAACGACAACAATGTCATTGTTTGTCAAAACCTTCTCTCGATTTGTGTCCTGCACAGCATCTCTCACAAACACACGTATTTGTGTGCAGGGGTGTGACGAAGGATCGTTCCATTGATTAATGAGAATTCGTAACCTCGTGATACATCAATCAAATTGTGTGCACGAAGAATCTATATATTTTTTTATTTGTGTATGTTGTATGCTTTGGGTTCACGTGACCTCTACGGCTACTTGGAGGTACAGTACCAGCATTCACTGCGATGTAAAAATAAAAATCAATTCTTGAAATGAATCGTGGCCCTGAATTCTGGCAATTTGTCAAATCAGCGGGGAGGGTGTGGGGGGGGGGGGGTGAATCCATACACCGCTAGTTTATGGAGGAGGTGTGATAAAAGTGCGTCCTTGCCGATGGCCAAAAGCAATGCCTGTCGCTTCACATCCAGTTCATGGCCTGACCGCCACCCTTGTGTTGTTGCATGTACCACGAAGTTGTTGCATCACAGGAAGTGCCGCCACATGGACTAACATTGCGAGACGTTACGCCAGGGGAACCGTTACGTAACATCAAAATGGCACCGCCAGATCTGAGATCTGCCCCTAGACTCACCAGGTGTCATTCATTGAGCTTCCATCCACCTTCAAGGAGGAGTACATTCCATGACAGCGTTTCCAATAAAAAATCACTCCGGAGTGGAAACGACACCAGCAAACCTAAGTGGTGCACTTCAGAATATTTCCAGAATCGCCAGCATTGGCAGGACTGCCATGCAGTGAGTCACTGGGACTTGAAAATGCTCTATGGAGCATCAGGAGCACATTAATTTAAGTGGAATTTAGGAGTTTTTTACGGTGAATTAGAGGATATGGAAATAGCATCCCCCACATCGATGCAGATTACAGTATTTTCACTCTATAAAAAGTACATTTAAACATCTTTATGAGAACAATGCAATAAACTAAACGTCCAATTCTGTGGTCACTGAGTTGCGTCATCTCTAATGACTGTCTTGAGATTTATAGATTCCAAAACACAGTAGAGGGCCGATCTCCGCCAGGTAACTCGGTTTCTTTCAACAAATAGAATGAATGGGAATAAAAGCAGGAAAAGAGAAAGTGGGGATGCGCAAACACTGTTATTGAATTAAGTCACCTACCAACTCGGCAAGATCATGTAAACACGAGAAATTATTTGGTGATGCCGCATTGGCAGTGGTGCGGGAGCACGACTAACAAAATAAACTCAACACGGTCCGTTTAACACGAAGCAGGCTTTTGCGGCCAATATCATCCATAAGAAGTTTTTTTGGGTTAGATCGCGTAAATATATAAATGCGTCGTTAAAACCCGCCACCACCCGACACAGCCAACTAGCAAGGGTTGTCATGCAAAAAGAACATTCCAATTTGTAACTAGTACAGCACACCGGTGTGTTGGAGAGCCAAGCCACAACATTTACAATCTGAGTACGACGTTTCGCCAGTAATTACAACTAGCTTCATCAGGCGACAGCCAGATTTGTGGAGAAGTCTTAACTGTTTCGTCAATAAACCTCTGGCGTTAAAAGTGAAAAATGTACAATAATACGACGCTTTGGGCAATGGCCCTTTATCTCGAAGGTAGTGGCCCCCCATATTTTAAGGCAGTGTTATTACTGGAGGTGCTGAGCTTCACGTAAATACAAGGATTAGTTACCCGGATAACTGTCTAGATATGGCTTTGGATCAAAGGGTGAAGATGGTACGGATGGGGACTGGCTGAGGAAGGATCCATGTTGTCGCATGGTGCTGGAAATGCAGTGGGAACACAGCGAATACGAGCGATTCGCCGGTTTCAATGAGCACAGATTTTAAGCAAGAATTCTACCACTGTGTTCTGCAAACCAAAACTAATGTCAGTGTTAAGAGTTGCTTAATGCCAAAATAAAGCACAAATCTATTTTGTAAGGCAGACCTGGGAATATACTTCATGTTGGCTCTGAAAGACGAAGCGTGATGGAATTTAGTGATTAATTAATTAAGTGCTGCAACTTTGATGCAAATATTTTAATATGATTAGGCATTCAACCTTCATGCTGTGATCCTCCTGTGATTTCACTCTGAATGCATTACAGCTTTGTCAGAACAATAAGAAGCAAAAGAACAATCGAGGATTGCTAATGTCCCGTAATCAGGTCTGAGCAAGCTGTGTGAATTTCACATTCCTATGACGGGCCCAGGTATGTCCGTAACTAACACAACATTTCCCACTGTCAACAAACTACTCCAAGCAGTGCAGCCTCAAAAGGCGGTGCCTCATTTTGTCCATCCTGGTGGAATTGTGATTGTGATGATTGTCTAGGCGGGGGATTTGAACCCATGCGTTCACAAATGAGGGCTGCGTTGCTCCACACAATGAGCTACATCATGTCCACACAGCTTCATAATATCATAAAACATGTATCCACCACCTGCTTTTTACCTGCAAAATGAACATCTGCTGTATTACTCGGGGCTTTGCAATTAAACGCAAGCAGATGTTTGAAATGAGACAAATTCTTGCCAAATTTAAATTCACTTAATTCTTAATCAATGCGCTGCGTTCACTTGAGTGGAATAACTTTCATAATTAATGTGTATGCAAATTGCTAAATCCATTCACTATTATATTAAAATCAACAAGGACAAAGAAGCACAACCAAGAATTACAGAGTGTGCAAGAGCGAATGCATTCAGTGAGCACCCATTTAGGCCTGGATAATGCAGATCACCACCACCACGACCAGTGCTTTTGTCGATGCAGCCTGGAAATGTTTCAATGTTTTTGTGTGTGTTTCGATTCTTGCCCTTCCCCCGCACCTCCGATTAGCACGGATGGCTGTGCGAGAGAAGTTCAACATACATGAGCACACACTCACAGCCCTCATTTCAATCAATCCACTGCTGTTGGTAAAAGGTGGAGGGGGGGCAGTACAGAACAGAGGTGGCGGTGGTAGTGCAACGGTTAACGGTGGGGAGCGGTAGTGCAACGGTTCATGCTCTGCAACCCGAGTTCGATTCCCGCTCATGGCCAACACCAGTGATGATTTTCTGAATCAGTCCTGGGCCTCCCCGACGTCGACTCAGCCTCAATTGAGTATCTGGTGCGGTGTGTAAACATCGCCACTGGGGAGACAGATGTGGCCGCGCGTGTTTCTGTCCACCCACACCCTCGCGTGCCGTGCCGGCCTTCACAGGTGCTCGCTAACAGCACTTGCCTCAACAGTCTGTCATGGCTATATGGGGGATCTTTGCCTTTGTACAGAACAATTATGGATTTTGCCCTCTCAAATTGATACATGCACTTGCTGTACTGTAATGAAGTGATAACCAAGCAGGTTCGGAGTCTCGTAGCAAACGGAGACCTCTGCGTGATCTTCGATTAACGACGTGCCAAACAGTTTTTTTTCTTAACTAGCAGTTAAACGAGTGGGCCATTATTGTGTTCCAATGTCAAAGCCCAAATGCAATAGTTGAAAATGCTCGTGAAGATAATGGGAATAATAACCTTGCATCAGCAACAACAACGTCTAAAAGTACATTTTAAAATTAGAAATGTCCCCGACGGATGTCTGTCTTGCACAAGTGAAATTAAGTCTCCGGGGGGAGTATGAACCCAAAAATACGTCAAACACTCAGCCATAACTGATGAAATTACAATAATTATTTTTCTAAAATATTTCTCTTCTCATGTTTTATACAAGGTCACGCGAATTAGACCCACGTGGCTCGACCACAGAGAGCTCTGTGACCACTCACTGTGAAAATGCAGTTAATTGTGGGTACATTTTTTTCTTCCCCTGTGCAATTGCCCATAATGGAAGCTCATAGTTGCGAAAATCGTTGCTGTGATCATTCACATAAGGGTCATCGTGAAACTCGAACCTTTAAACTTGGACTAAAGTGGCTCATTAGGGTACACGCGGTAAAGTATATACCTGATTGAAAGCTTTCGTGACTGCAGTAATTCATAATCTTAGTTCTTTCGGTAAAGTCACGTTGAAGGGAAACAACAAAATAATAAAATATATATAAAACAATAAAAACAATAAAAATTCTCACGACGTTTCGACCATAACACAAACGGTCGTCTTCAGGTGTGTTGGTTGAAGACGACCGTTTGTGTTATGGTCGAAACGTCGTGAGAATTTTTATTGTTTTTATTGTTTTATATATATTTTATTATTTTGTTGTTTCCCTTCAACGTGACTTTACCGAAAGAACTAAGAATATAAAGTATATACCGTTGCGATTTTAAGAGTACACTGCGAATTTAAGAAGACATCATACCAAAAGCATTGGAGTACGTTCGAGCACAGACACATATTAGAGTACTACTATTTAGCTCTTCTTCAAAAGCGACCTGGCCGTAAATTAGCACTCAACGAAGTGGCTTATCATGTGGACATTTCGAGCAGCCAAATACTCTAAACGCACGTTTTTAAATGTGGAGGGAATAGCCGGATGGACCCGGAGAAAAATCCCCGTGACCATGGGGAGAACATGCAAACTCCAAATATACAGGCATCGTCTGGGTCGGGATTGAACCCACGACCTCCTGCACACCAGGCGAGGTAGTTAACATCTCATAGCCACCGCGGCGCCCCCTACTGGCCACTTTGCAGACCATCAGAACCGCGTGGCACCGGCGCTTCTCAGAACGGTACCTCTTCCTCTCCCACGATGTTTCCCGCACAGGGGAATTGGCAGTGACCATTGGCAGCTGCAGGATGAATAGGTTTCATATCAGGACTTTCAACATTTCCATTTCGCTGTCTGGCGATGACGGTGCATTAGAGAACACATAGTACACGTGTTTGGGGCACCTTCACTGAGTAAGACTACATTATAGTACAAGTATTAGAGCACATCAGAGTGCAGTACGACTATTAGAACACGTAAGAATAAGGGCATTACATTTAGTAAGGACACTGTAGTTTATATTCTTAGCTCTTTCGGTAAAGTCACGTGCCTTTACCGAAAGAGCTAAGACTATGAATTACTGCAGTCACGAAAGCTTTAAATCAAAACATTGTAATTTATTGGAATATGGATATTAGAGTGCATCAAGGTAGGAATTTTAAGTCACATAACAAAATCGGCCAAGTGGTACTGTTGGCAGAGTGCTTGACTCACGGTGGAAATATTGTAAGGCCAGGAAATTGCAGAACAGCAACCACTTTGCCAATGACCAAATCACATTGAATGTGCCCGATCTCATTCGATCTCAGAAATTTAGCACATGCAAAATCACTCCTTAATGGAATTAGCCGAACGTTCCAATGCAGGACTCCCCCCCCAAAATTAGAGTCTTCGGCCTCATCGAGGCTTTTCTGGATCAATAATTGACGCTGATTAAAATACTTGCCGCAGTTGCGGTCTGCCTTTACTTTCAACGAAAATGAAACATTTATTAAGTGGCTTGACGCAGCCTCCTCCTAAATACAGAAATCAATGAATCTTTCACAGCCGAACCATTTATGCCGCCTTTTAAAACAATCCTGTCTATTAATTTACCGCACCCCCCTCGTCTTAGTCTTTCACATTGAGAAGCGACCTCTTTGTGGTTGCAGATCAATTCATCGATAAGTCCGTGCCGGAGTTTTTAGTGTGCAAATTAGCTGCGGTCCGTGCGTGGAAATTGGCGACTAATTTAACGCGGGGGGGGGGGGGCAGGGGGGGGGGCGCTGGCTACACACCCGCCAACTCCGCCACGTCCATATTCCCCACGTGTCCTCTCCGCGTGCATCAGGAGGGAGAGAAATAATCCGTTTTGTGCCTAGCTGGCGCTAATTAATTGCCAGTCGATTGCGTCGGTTGGAGGTAGATTATCAAGCGAATGAATGACTTCGCCGGATGTAGCCATACAATGAATGGGTGTACAATTAGAAGGTAGCAAGGAATTCGCTAGGATTGTACTGACAAGAACATGTTAGTTTAACACGTAGGAGGCCTTCGCGACCAATTTCAGACATAAGAGGGTTTTTTTTGGGTCAGATCGCGTAAATATATAAATGTGTCGTTAAAACCCGCCACCACCTGACACAGCCCTTAACTAGTAAGGGCTGTCACGTAAACAGAACATGCCAATTTGTCGCTAGTACAGCACACCGGTGTGCTGGAGAGCCAAGCCACGTGTTACGTTATTTATATAATTCGTTGTGGTCCTAAATGTATTCATTGGAAAAATAAAATAAATTCAGGATGATAAAATATTTGGTATGCCCTTGAAAGGGATACACTATTTTACGAGGCATATATCTATATATTCTTGCTATCAATTGCACACATTCTTTATCGTCAAATAAGTAGATCAAAGCTTATTAGATGGCTCAGTGATAATTGTTTATTACTGGGAGAGAGTGCGGATTTCTTGGTTACACAAGTAAATGACTACAAATACAGAGACACAAGCCCATACATGTGTCACGTAGCGCCGAGCCACTAAAACACAGCTGCTTGGCACAGTGGGGAGTCCAGGTGGTGCATCTGCCAGTCATCTCAGTCAGTCAACCCATTTCAGCGATACCTTGCTGATCTCGTCAAGCAGCATACACCATCACGTGAACTCCGGTCATCCTTGCAGTGGCTTTTGGTTAACCATCGAACAAAGGCGGTCACTGTATCGCGCACTTTCAGATGCGCTTCAGCGGCCGTCTGGAACGCTCTTCCATTCGATATTAGGAAGCCGCTGGAGCTATGTACTCTTAAATCTAGATTGAGAACTCATTTCTTTAGGACTGATTTTTCTGTTTAGTTTGTTGTCCTTCCCCCACACCTCTGTTTAGCACGGTTGGCTACGTATGGTGCGAAAGAAGCTCAATACACATACATACAGCACACTGGACGTGCAATACACAGGTGGCCGGTTTGCGTTTGATCTCACAGACGCCACTTGAGATATGCACTTTCAAATCTAGATTGAAAACGAATTTCCTTCGGTATTAGCCACACCTCCCCCTCGTATGACATGCTGGCCTTAACAGATGCCTGCTATAAAGCACTTGCCTAACAGCCTGTCATGGGCTACACGGGAGATATTTGTTGTTGTATGCGGTCTGTCGGTACATGACCGTGCGAGGGCGCATGTGTGCGTGTGTGCATGCGTATACAAGCGCATGTGTGCGTGCACGCACATGCGTCTGTGTCTGTGCACGTGTGCATGTACGTATGTGCGTGCGTGCATGTGCGCCCGCGTATGAGCGTAAGAGGGTATATGCACCTGCGTGCGTGCATGCGTGCATACGTGCGCATGCGTGCGCATGCGTGAGAAAAATTCCGCGCACATCAATAGCAGCGCACGGTGATGTGACCGTGGCTCTCACACTAGCGAGGTGTCCGCAGGGGACGCGTGTCAGGAGGTGGGGGTTGTGGGAAGTGGAAAGGGTTTTAAGGGGGAGCCGATGCAGAGGACTGCAGCTATGGGAGTTGGGGGGAAGAGGGGGCGGGGGCTTATCAGCTGGATTGAGCCGAATCTGGGAGCTCACCTGAACGCCCAGGATGCCGAAGATGATGAAGAACGCGCAGCAGATGAGGACGATGTTGCCGATGGGCTTCAGGGACGTGATCAGCGTCTCCACCACCAGCTTCAGTCCCGGCGCGCGGCTGATGACCCTGACAGGCGAAGAGAGTCCGCGCGTTCGCACACGTGCGTGGTCATTCCCATCGACTCGGGGAGGATGACGCTGCTCGCGCTCAGCAACATCGACGAGACGTGCACATTTTCATTTCTCCCGTAGCCGTGTCCAGCAATCCCTCGCCAACCACGGGCTTCCCAACCACGGCTTCTCGTATCCACACACAAAGTTACGCATACCGTTTTTTGCCAGCCACGGTATGCAGTTTCGCGTAACCACAGTTTCAAATCTCCGGCTGTGTGCAAGCATCCGCCACCAAGCGGCGCATCAAGCGCGTGTGCCCACACTCGTCCCCGAGGTGCAGTACTTGTCCACGTTCCGTCAGTGCTGTGCGGCAGTCGTCACAAAGCGCAGTAGTGGCTGTAATGGCTACTTCCAAGAGCTATTACACGCACCGCACCTTTGCAGGCGTCCTCGGTGCCATGGCGAGCGATTCAACGCTGACGTTGACGCGACGTTGAAAGAATTACAGCATATGCAAACTTGAATCCATTGATGAAGTGAAGCAGTCAACCGAACGTCCCCCTAATTTTCCAATAATCCTTTAAGTCTTGCCAACCATGGGGGGTTTTAGGAACTTAACCCCCGCGGATGGCGAAGGATTACTGTGTTTGGAAATATTTGTGTCCTTTGTCCGTCACTCCACAAGAAACCCAAGGATCGAAAGCAAAAGCAGGACCGGTGGTGAGCGGCCACGTGAACAGATGCCTCCCTGTGCAGGATGGCTGCCGGGGGCACTGCGTTGTGCTGAGTGAGGCCCTAAGGGACCGGATTTCCAATGAGAGGCTGGATGCTCAGAACAAGTACAGAACAAGCATTTCATTTAGACCCAGTCTCAGATGCGATAAACTGAGACCAGTTCAAACTCCCGGACCCTCGGCGGCATCATCTCCCCGGCACGCCTATTACACAGGACCCTTAAGAACCTCCAGAACATGACCTTACCCTCCTCTCCCCCTCCATCGCTCTATCGCTCTCCCCCTCTCTCTCTCTTCACCACAGCAGCCACCCCCAGCCCTGTGCCCTATCGAGTCTCTCAGGGAAAAGGCATTGGACAAATTGGAGCGGCAAAGAGATAGGTCACGGCCCGGCAAGGGCTCGGCAGTTGTCGATTGCGGTGATTGGAGTGGGGGCTGGTTAATGCGGGTGGTGGATGATACGTCAATTCGTGCGTGCACAGCAATGTGTGTGTTTTTGTGTATGTACACGCCCCTTTCAGTACGTATGCACGCACGCACGTATTTATGACTGTATGCATGTATAGTGGGCAACGCGAGTGTGATTGGAGGGGTGTGTGGCTGAGTGGGCGAGGGAAAGAATGATTATACACAGCACGGCAGGGGAGTGAGTGAGTTAAGTGAATGAGTGAGCGGGTGAATGAGTGAGGGAATTCATGAGTGAGCGCATCAGCGATCGATTCGGTGAGTGCATGACTCGACAATCGAGCAAGTTGGTAAGCGGGTTGCGTGCGAGTGCATGGGTAAGCAGCCTGGCTTGCGAGCGAGTGGGTCCATGGATGAGGGAGCGAGCGAAATCACGAGTGGGTCAGTGGTTGAGCGAGTGAGCGAGTGATGGATTTGCTCGAGTGGATCGGCGGCTGTGCGGAGCGGCTGGGCGGCGGCGTTGGCGACGGCGTTGCTGGCTCCACACACCGGAGCGGCCGAAGCGTGCGCAGCAGACGCAGCACGCGCAGGATGCCCAGGATGCGCGCTCCACTGTCGGACGCGAGCGACACGATGATGTCGACCAGCGAGACCAGGACCAGGAACCCGTCGAGTGTGTTCCACGTGCTACGTAGGTACGCGCCGTCCCCGAACACCAGCGCCATTGCGATCACCTGCAAGGCCAGAGCAAACGGTCCCACCCCGCCCCCGCACCCCCCCGGTTAGTCTTACGGACCCCGCGGGGGCAAGCGCCGTTAGCGAGCACCCATCCTTGGCCGTGCCACATTATCGGCTCGACGATGACCGCCCTGAATGGGGAAGGCCGGAGGGTGCCGAGCGGTGGCGGCGCAAAGCCGTAGAGGCGGCGAGGGTTTGTGGATCACGCGCACGCACACACGCACACACACAGCTGATGCGAAACTCCCTTCCTGTAGGTATCGAGGAGGTGCCATAGCCTGGCCCGTCCTGGGAAAGGCAGCAAAGGAAATGTGGGGACTGATATCATCAGTCTCTAAATGCGTAAAGGATAAAATGTTATCCCCCTCACAACGTGGCCTTTCTCCGGGCGCTCCGGTTTCCTCCCGTGCATGTTGACACTCACCGTCATGAGGGTGAAAACATCGTGATCGACGCAACATCCGTGCTTGCAGATTGCAGAGCGCAGTGTGATGCGGTTTGCATAAGTGACGCTGCTGTATAAACACTCAATATTACGATGGATAAGGCAGTTGGTGGGCATAAGCGTGGCCACCTTCATTTCTGCAGTGGTGATGACCGCAGGTTGCAATGGGTTATTATTTACGGTTGAGTTGACCTAGGGGTGGATCAGCACAGATATCACTCAACACCAATGTTGGTGCAAATCTGACAATGGAACCCACACTCTTTGGTTCTTTCGGTAAAGTCACGTAGGCATAAAATAAAATGAATCACGACGTTTCGGGCGTAACACAAGCGTCCATCATCATCAGGTGGGAAAGCGTTGCTTTTCCGAAAGAACCAAAGAGTATGGATTCCTGCAGTCACGAAAGCTTCAAATCAAAAATGGAACCCATGTTCATCGAAGTGAAATTGCTCACTCCACTTTCCTATGGCAAGGAGCCAGCCTATCCATTGGACAACAAATGCTGACTTTCCAACAGAGTGCTGCTAATTTGTATGATCACACAGAGGAATTATGACGATGTGAAGTGTGTCCCGAGTCAACCCACAACTGGCATTTGAACTTGTGACCCTCCGGTTGTCCATCACGTGCTCACGGTTGTCAAGTGCAAGGACGTGCGGGCAAGATTGTCTGAAACAACGTTCGCCAAAATATATTTTTTTTCGCGAGCAAATTCAGCGAGCGGTGACCTGAGCGGGGCGAGTGATCTCGCCGCCGCTTGGACAGAAACCTCAATATGTAACCAAATTGTGATGTCACAGTGCTGTGACCCCGACCTTTAGCTCTCACATATAAAACACAACCTTCAACAAGCAAACATGCGTACACGTGTACACAAGTCATAGGCGTGGCTGTGCTGGCTTGGGTGTCTGTGAGCAGCACTCTATGCACTGTGCCAGTGCTCGCCGAGTCCCGTTATAGACAGCCCAGATCTAGTCATGAGCTCTGGACACAGTGTCACCTCGCTGGATGGAAGGCCGGGTAAAATAAACACAAATCACCATAAGGACAAAACCTATATATATTTTTTTGATTCTCCGGTTAAGGCCCATTCAGCTATACAGCGCTTTTTCAGAATCGACCTGGTAACAAATGAGAGCTGAACGAAGTGGCTTATGATGTGGACATTTATAGCAGCCAAATACTCTAAACGCAATGTTGATTCCAAATGTGGAGGGAAAAACCGGAGGAACCCGGAGAAAAACACCACAGGATCACGAGGAGAGCAAACATACAGGGGTCAGGGTTAGGATCGAAACCACGACCTCCTGCATACCAGCCGAGAACGAAGATGACATGAGGGTACACAGCAGGGTACACAACAGGGTACACAACAGGGTACACAACAGGGTACACAACAGGGTACACAACACAACAGGGTACACAACAGGGTACAAAATAGGGTACACAACACAACATGGAACACAACAGGGTACACAACAGGGTACACAACAGGGTACACAGCAGGGTACACGATAGGGTACACAACACAACAGGGTATACAACAGGGTACACAACAGGGTATACAACAGGGTACACAACAGGGTATACAACAGGGTACACAACAGGGTACACAGTAGGGTACACAACAGGGAACACAACAGGGTACACAATAGGGTACACAACACAACAGGGTACACAACAGGGTACACAACAGGGTATACAACAGGGTACACAGCAGGGTACACAGCAGGGTACACAACAGGGTACACAACATGGAACACAACATGGAACACAACATGGAACACAACAGGGTACACAACAGGGGACACAACAGGGTACACAACACAACAGGGGACACAACAGGGTACACAACTGGGTACACAACAGGGTACACAGCAGAGTACATAACAGGGAGCACAACAGGGAACACAACATGGAACACAACAGGGTACACAACAGGGTACACAACAGGGTACACAACAGGGTACACAACAGGGGACACAACAGGGTACACAACAGGTGTTTGTTACCTTGATGCTCATCTCAGTCACAAAAACGGCCGTGAAGATGTAGTTGGAAATGGTCATGAACAGCCGTTCCTAAGGAAAAGACAACCATTATAATGACTTATAAAAACAAGACAATTGAATTCATGCTTCTTGAGTTTAAAACTGACCCGCTGTTTCTTGAGTTAATTTGAGCTCTGCTTCATGGTGACGGAATGTGACTTGGATTAAACTGTAGTTGCCATTTTTTTTACATTTTATTAAATTGTACATTTCAAACTATAAATATACTCAGTAATTTGTCACTGAGCGTTCATTAAAAATGTTACGTATTCATTGCATGCACGTGCAATTCAACTTTACTGATTGTGCGTAAATGGATTAAGTACTTGCAGTATGCCAGACATTAGCTGCAACCGTAGAGGTGTTACCATATTTATTGGAACAGGTTGCAAACTTTAACCAAAAGGTCTTGCGACAATTATAATGAGTTATTGCAGAAAAAAACCTACATCAAATATTTCCACTGATATCATGACGAAAGTACGATAGATTGAACAGAACATTTTCACAAGTCCGCTGTTCCAGTTGAGAGCCAAATAGTGGTACAGAGTTGATCAATGCACAAAAATCGATCACAAAAATGTCCCATTCCCACGATGCAAGGTTGGTTTTGGAGAGGGCACAGCCTGACCTTGAGTACGGGCAACAACACGGAATGGGGGGCGAATGGTCGGTTGTTATTGGTCAGTTGTGATTGCTTCAGAGACACAGGTGGTAGAATGACAATATTGCAAATATCTTTAAAAACGTCATCATGCCAATTCTGATACTAGTGATCTATTGAAAGACGTCTGATGTTTGTCCAGGGTTAAAAATAAATACTGGGAACTCGGCTGAGCCCCTCTTTGCACACGGATGCCTTCCCGTGTAAATGACCATCAACGCTATTCTGCCTGAACCGACACACAGCTCGGACGAGGACTTCTGATAAAATCTACGGACACGCTACGAACACAACTAACGTCGCCTAAAAAAAAACAACGTACTGTATTTAATCTGTATGGCTGCAGAATGCAAAATAAAATGGCAAAGTAAAAAAACACCTTCTCTTTAATAATATTAAAACCGACAAACCACACATTCATGGCACCCCTATACTGGTTAATTTTTCTATTTGCGATGTGAAGGTTCCCATGAATCAGGACAAAAAAAGTCAAATTCAAAGATCGCAAGCCGTGTAGATTTACAGGGTTGATGTAAGCTCCAGTCAATTCATTTGTTTATTAAATTGTCTCATATGTAGTTACGATTATTTTGGTAATTTCATGGAAAGATAATGCACTCGCTGGCTGCTGTGAATTGTTTACGGGCATGAGTGAAATGGGTTTTGTGTTCACGCATCTGGAGCCACATTCGTCTCAAATGAATGGAAAATTCCTTCATCCTTTCAGTCCTCATTTATCGCACCTTTGCCCAAGTCGCTATACTTTTCCAGGATCTAATCGCGTCTCAGAAGCCAAGCAAAGTTCAGCCTGCTTCATCGTACTTTGATGGGTGACCACCGGGGCTTGCCAGGTGTTGTGGGCTGCGAGGCGGCTATGAGATGGCAGTGCTCAGTTTCTCGCCCTCGGTTGTATGCGTGGCGGGGGGGGGGGGGGTTTCTCGGGGTTCTCCAGTTGCACCCCCACGTGAAGTCAAACACTTAAAATGGCAATGGCCCAACATGCCAAAGGAGCCAGACCCTAATGAAACAATCCCGAGATTCAGTCAAGCTTTGCAGGGAAAATAATTGGCATCGTTATTATTATTATTCATTTATTCAGATTATCTACTAATAGTCCCTTGCCCCTTTCAGGTTAGAGGTACATATAAAACAAACTTTTCTTTTTATACGTGGAGGGAGACAGACATTGGAAGGAGACGTTGCACAGTTGGCTACATACGGTGCGGAATAAGTTCAACATACATACGTACAAAAGTGTCTGCTTATTAATTTTGTTGCTTATGATCTCCACAAGACCGTTCGCGATTGTTCTATGAATATAAATCGCCAAAGATCCCTCCGACACCACACAGCACGCCCCCCCCCCAGGCGTTGCAATGTGGAAACGTCTCGCATGGGGTTTTAACCAATGGGTCAAACGCGGAGAGCTCACGTGATGCCCATTGCAACAGCTGTGGCAGCCTCGGGGTGCTGTGAGCAATTCGTCATAGAGTGCTTTGTTGTTGTGGTGGTGGTGGTGGTGATGGGAGCCCAAGAGCTCATTATGTTTTGGGGAACAATATTGTAAAGTGTTTGAACCTCTGGGCACATCCAGGAGGCGTAATGGTAGGTCCGAGTAATTTGGTTCGGACAAATGGGAACACTCCACCTATTAGGTGCTCGCTAACAGGACAATTGTCCCAATAGTTTACATGAATAAGCAGGTGGTCAGTCTATGGCCTTTGTCTGGGTAACAATGGAACTTCTCTTGTCGCTGTTTTTGTTTGTGGGTGTAATTGGCAGAACCTATTATCTGTGCCTATTTGAAAAAAAAATGTACATCAAGTATGACATGTATTGTGGATAAGAGGATGACCTGGCAACACGATTTAATTTACTCACTGGCAAATGCACACTGTCGGTGTTCTTCCAGATTGATTAGGAGCTGCAGAGAATTTGAGTCGAAGATTATAGGCTTTTCATTGTACGAATACTTGTAAGTGTATGCCATTTAAATCAGACTTCAACTCAGGCTATATGCTCCCTCCAGGGTCGACAAAAATTTACCCGACCACAAATTCAACCACAGCTGTCACGTGGATACACTAGACCCCGTCATAGGAATGTGGACTGAGCCGCTGGCGAATAGCCCTGGGCCCCACGCAATGCTTGAGCAGCCGAATGTACGGCAGGTGATGCCGCGTCCGTCCTTCAACGGAAACGGCACACGGCACGTGCACGGGACAGATGCGCGCCCCACAGTGTAAAAGCACGCCTTTGCTCGGCGACTATGTAAATTTAACGGAGAACAATAACACTCTCCAGTAAGGCACCCGCATAGCCATCTTGTGACAATTTCATTCCGTGCCAGTAATGATGGGACTCTCACTCTCTCTCCGTCATGCATATTTCAAAAGGTGGGCTTGCACAGAAGGGGGAAACATTTTCAAGCGGCCATAAATAAATGATGCCCGCCATCCTTTCATGCGCGATCTGTGCAGGTTTTTGAAGGCACAGGCCTTACTCCCGCTCGTTGTGCTCCCATTTGCCACCTGCGACGCCTCCTTTGTTTATTTGTACGGTCTTATTTCCAACGCTGTAAATTTTAATGGTGGTGGAATTGGCGTTTTGTGTGCGTCGTCGTGTGTGCAAAGTGATTAACATGATTGAATTGTTGTGATCGTTACTTACGGTGTGTGTATTAACATTGGCTGACCTCATTGGAAGGGGGGGGGGGTGCAGATACTGGCACCCTGCCTTAGCAATGTGGACATTCCACAAATGGCTCAAAGATGCCAACTGAGAGAAGTGCAAAATCATTTGAACTTGGGCATGAAGACAATTTTGCAATGCTGATGATGGTGGTGATAATGATGCTGCTATAATTATACAAATTCTGCTGCTGATCATGATCATGATTAGCGATGGTGGTGACATCTTCGTTCAACTTACAGGGCTGTCCGCTCCAATGTCTGGCCTCTCAAGGGCGATGGTGATGCAGTTGAGGAAGATGAAGAGAAGCACCACATGGTCAAACACCTTGTGTGCGATGATCTTGCGACACTGCATTCTGACCCTGTCAGCAGCGGGGGGAACAGTCACGAACACAAACTCACGGGAAAAGATAACAGTGCAGCCCTGCGATCGCTTGCTCAATGCCGCTGCTGCCGGAAGGGGGCCTCAACTACAGGAAGCTCTAGAGACTCCCCTCGAGAGGATATTGGCCTACTCTTAGACGCTGGCCAGAGGTCTTGGGAGAGGTGGGAGTACTGACAAATGGTTCAATCGCACGCAACTTGCCGGTCAACTTACTGCGGTCATTAACCATTAATACTGCTGCGTGGATAGAGACGCATGGATTTAAGAAACGTGCCCCATCGTTACAACTGCCGTGACGGAAGATCGAACCGGCGACCTCTGGATTGCATGTCCTGTGTGCGAAAATTACTCTGTGGCAGCATCCATTGGACTCTTATCTGGTGTCAGACAAAGGAAGTGGATTTTGTCCACGATGAACTCTCCACCTTGAGCTGACGAGTCGTACTTACTTGTTATGTGGAGCAAACAGGTAGAGCGACCATTCTTTTCGGGATTCGCAAAACTTGGGCTTGTAAGGTTCCAGTCGCCGACGGAGCCTGAAGCAGTGGCTCTGAAAGACAGTTCGTGCACGTGTAAGAAGCCAATACGTACTTCTTTAATTTGATCGATCGATTGATTATATTTGTTTACCCGGGTAAGACACATTCAGCCGTAAGCTCTTTTACAAAAATGATCCGCGGCTGACCTTGGCTAAAAGTGAATGATCTATCTCTGCTAAATGTTCGTAGATTATATTTACAAATAAAATAAAAGCAATAATGTCTAAGTGCCAACCCGCTCAAACGATCATTGCCCGGTACGCATCTCCCAAAGTGAAACTCCTCTATTCCATGACGATGTGCTGGGGAAGAGGATTGGTGGATCCTACACTCTCCCATTATTCATGTACATAACATACCTTTATCCGTTTTAAGAAGTGCGGATAACAGATACATTTATGCCACAATTTCGAGTTCATGTGTTAAGTTACTTTCGTAAAGGGCAACATGGAGAATGCCGTACTTCTGGAACACGACTTACAGATCAATTATGGTTGGGCCAAACACATGGATCATTTTGGTGGAATCGGGTCAACATAAAAAAATGAGCATGTACTGGACAATGGGTTTTCCCTGTACAGCCAAAATAAAACGTAAACCCATCATCAGCCATGATCTAGTCACTGCTTGAAGAAGGCCTCACCAGGCATTCACCATCTGTCATGATCTCATGATGCAACGATCCACCCAGCTCCATCTCTGTGGTGTAAGTGCTCTCCCGGGCACATTCCCCTCCTTTGGCAGCCATTCCATGGTTAGTCTTGACCACGTGCCATCGTCCCTTTTAGTGTGCCGTGTCCTGTTCCAAGCCCACCCAACATTCCCGTGGGTCGAAACGACGTCTGTAACTCGCATATGCTGTCTGATCGACATGTTTCTCTTTGTGTCTCACAGCGTAATTGTAAGCGTGTATAAATAAGTAAAAAGACGGTGGACAATGGGTGGTTAGACGGCTTTTGGAAATTGAAGTCAATAATGGAAAGCAGCAAACCAATGTGCAGAAGAAGATTGTCTTCAATCAGTGCATATTTACCTCCTGTGGCGTATGGATCAGAAACATGAACATTGACAAAGAAAACGGAACAAAGTTTGAAAGAATTGCACGGATAAGTGTGCGGAACAGGACGAACAGCTGCTGATTCCAGTGTACTCGTCGTGCTTAGGTGGTTGTTAAAATAATGGGTCTGCAGATTGCAGGAAGATGCAGAAATTCAGCGAAGATGCGGGTAACAAGAGCAGGGAATCGGGGAGTGGAGAAGAAGCATTTTTCACTGTGCATAGTAGGCCTGCAAGTGAATGTGAATAATTACAATTTCCCATGACTCAAATACCCATTTTGCCCTCTACACAAATACAGCCCTCCTGCCATAGTAATGTGAAATTTACACCACGGGCTCAGGACTGCAGCTCCACCCCATGATTGTTTGGGTCGTGAGACAGTTTAACCTTTGACTTTATACATGTATGTTATATCAAGGGCTATCGTGGGTATGTTGTATTATGTGCCATGATGTAACAACCACCCGTATATACAGTAGAACCCCTCCATAGGGTTCTCTTGGGACTGTCAGCAGAGACGAGCATCGTGGCATGCGTTCATGTGAGCAGGGAAACGCTTTGATTGTTTGACTCGGCTCTGAACGCCGTCGTAAATGTCACAGTTCACCGTCAACGCCGGCGATCTGATGAGCTCATTCAATTTCGGGATCACGATTTGAATCCAGAACTGTTCTTTCTGTCTTTGGAATGTACGTGCCCGTATGTTCTGTTTTTTTTTTATCCAACGAATATTCTGGTCATGCCGCTGCGTTGGCAGCGATTCAAACGCACAATTAACAATAGCACTGCCATAAAAAATATATATCAGTGACATTTTGGGCATTGGCCCTTCCGCATAGCAGAATGGCGGGTAGAGGCGACTGCAGCTACAAACCTCTAAATCATGGACCACGTAACTTCGCACTGCCCCAAATGTATACGTGAACGCAGCTGGTGGGTGGCCGGATTCATCTGCAATTCGCCAAGTTGGGCGAAGCAATCGAGCGGCTAAATTGCGTAGAGTTGAATCTCTACAAGGTCGCTCTTCACAGATCAACCATCGGAAAGATAAAGAAGATATGTGTGGACGTGCCTGTTCAACACCCGGCATGGGTACTGAACAAGCGTGTTGCACAATGCCGTGCGGCGTGGACAGGCCCTCACATCGTAAATCTCTTCGGCTTCGTCGCTGAACTTGCGTGACAACCTCGGCGTCTCCCTGCCGGGCAGCGGACTGCTCCCGTGCGACACGAATTGCTGCTGCTGATGCTGATGCTGCTGCTGCTGGTGGTGGTGGTGTTGGTGGTGTCGCTGAGCCAAGCGAGCGCTCCTCGGCAGGGAGGGCGAGCGGGAGAGCGGCGACAGCGGGGAGAGCGGCGAGCCATTGCAGCGCATGGCGGGCGTCTGGAGCAGCTCGGGGAGGTCACAGGAGGCGGCGCGGCGGGCGATGAGGAGGCCCCGGGGGGAGAGGCCGTCCTCCGTGCCCGCCGAGCACACGCTGCCCCGTGGGCTGATGCTCCTCAGGCTCCACTGGGGGAGAAAGGGGCGCAACGGAGAAGGGGTTGGTGGATTACACAAAAGTGATCAACTTTTTTGTTTATTGCGAGACTCCCGGCTGGGGTTGCCACCTGTCCTCGTTATTGTTCCAGGATCGTGATCTTGTTGAAGTTTACCGTTCACTCCAAATGACAAGATGCTATTTTCCACCCCCCCCTCCTCCTCCCAGGATTTTAAAGCAAAAGTGAGGGACACGTCTTATCATCCGGTAAGGAGTTGTGTCACCAAATCTCCATGATTTTAACTGTCACCAGGCACAAGTTTGGGGTGCATCAAAATTTTCTGGACCATCTTTTCTCAAGTGGAGAATCAGGTCACTGTGTCGTATGGGGAAAACTGTAAATCTTCCAGGGACGTTAAAAACCCTTGTTACAACTTTACCCCACCACACAAAACTGTGGTGAACCCATTTACATGGCTGCGTGGACAGAGGCAACTGCCACCCTGTGAGATCAAACGCGTACCAGCGACTTTTGTATTGCACGTCCGGTGTGCTGTATGTATGTGTATTGAGCTTCTTTTGCACCATACGTAGCCAACCGTGCTAAACAGAGGTGCGGGGAAGGACAACAAACTAAACAGAAAAATCAGTCCTAAAAAAATTAGTTTGCAATCTAGATTTAAAAGTGCATAGCTCCAGCGGCTTCCTAATATCAAAAGGAACAACGTTCCAGACGGCCGCAGAAGCGCATCTGAAAGTGCGCGATGCAGCGACCGTCTTTTATCGATGCCCAGCCAAAAGGCACTGTGAGGATGACCGAAGTTCACGTGATGCAATTACACCATTGCACTGTGGCAGCATCCCATGGACTCAAAGAGCATAAGAGGGAATCGGGTGGTGTTAAGCACCCATTAGCAGTGGCCCTAGATAGCTCATCTAGAGGTATTCCTGCCTCCTCTGCTGCTCCGGCGGAGGAGGTGCGATGAAGCTACAGGCTCTGCTGCCGCTGTTAGAGCTGGCGGCGGTGTCGCCGAGCCAAGCGACGTCTCCCAATGCGCCTCGGAAGGCGTCTCTCGGAAGGTTCGAGGTCACCTGCGCGAGGCTGTCCCTCCGCACGGCCGACGAGAGCGACGCCTTGTCGTCGTGGCGCACGGGCAGCAGCGTGTGCCCGCCGGGCCGGGGCAGGAGGCCGTCGAGGCCCACGCTGGCCCAGCTGGAGCGACGGCTGCTGCACACGCTCCCACGGCCGCCCCAAGGGGAGCTGCGCCCGCTGGGCTGCGCACGGGCAACGCACGGGCGCAGTGGGGCCGTGAGCGCCCGTGGCGAGAGGTGAATTGGAAAAAGGCGGAGAGCCGAACGCGAACCGCGACGACCGAACAGATTCCAGTCCCACCGTTAACTCTCAATGACGCCAGTCGACCAGTCAGTTCCCAGCACCAGCCCGGCCTCTCACCCTAAGTGCAAGAGACTGATAAGAAGCTAGCCCTACCGAGTACACCCAACCACACTGGCCAACCAGACCCAACCCTACCTACCCCTTATATCTAACCACACTCGCCAAGCATACTCATAAACCTCATACTCATAAGCACACTAGTACCCAGACACTAGCCCCAGACCCTAGCCCTACACACTGGGCAACCGGACCCGAACACTAACCCTCACTGCACAAGTTAACGAGACCATAGCCCTATCCCTTATTCCTAACTACACTCTGCAACTAGACTCTAGCCAGAGGTGTAGATTCCACATTCCTATGGCAGAGGCCAGTCTCTACAAAGGATGACCATGTTGAGTAATGTCTCGTCAAAAGCTTCCCTGCTGTTATTAGCATATCATAGTCTTGCCTCCATTAGCAGCCTTAAGCCAGTAGTGAACATTCCACATTCCTATGACAGTCGCAGTCTATCCAAAGCGCAAACTAAAAAGCAACTGGTAACAATGACAGTCTTCAACTGTCCACAGTAAACCAATAGTGATGTCTCACAAAGTGGCACGAACTTTATCAACCCTAGACAAATGATGATGATGATGAGTTGAGTCTACTGATGACTGTGATGTGAAGTCGCAACCTTTGGTTATGTGTCGAATGTACTAACCACGACGTTCGTCCATACAGAACAAATTGGCCGCCCACGATCATAAGACACATATGGGCATAACAGGTAAATCTAATTGAAACTAATTGAAAATAAAATATTACAATCTGCGATTGTGTACGCCGTGTTTGAAAACTAAAGTGTGCTTTTATATCAACTGTGGCTATAAACACACTTGCCCAGTGTGTTGAATATTAGCGCCCAAAGACAATTCATCTTTGTTAATGCTCATGCTATTATTCAGTGAGCCTTGTTCATTTTTTATTCATTAAATTCACATTTGTTACGAGTCGAGCCTGCGATGGGGGGGTATATTTAGCCTTGAGAAAATCAATTGTGCATCTTTGTCTTTCCATTTTAACCTCGTGCCCATCGATGACTTTAACCTGAAAGATCGGGAATGCAAAATGACAGCGTCTGTGTCTATGTGTGGGGAGCGGTAGTGCAGCGGTCAGCAACATTGCACTTTGAACTCAGCGACCAGAGTTCGATTTCCGCTCACGGCCAACACCACTTAACCGGTCCTGGGCCTCCCTAGGTCGACTCAAATGAATACCTGGCACGGTGTGTAAACACCGCCACTGGGGAGACAAAGGCGGTCGGGCGTGATTGCTCACCAGCCACCCCCACGTGTACCGTACCGGCCTTCACAGGTGCTCACTAACAGCACTCGCCACAACAGTCTGTTAAAGGCTACACGTCGGATCTTTATGTATGTATAAGTGTGGGGAGCGGTGGCATGGAGGTTAGAAAGCTGAGCTGCGAACCAGGCAACTTAATTTTTATTCCTGGAAACGGCTAACACCAGAGGCCAATATCTCAACAGGTGCTGGGCCTCGTCTAAGGTTAACTCAGCCTTAAATTAGTAATTGGTGTTATGTATCTCTTCCGTCACCTCACTAATTTCCCTCTTTTGTCTACTCCTTTAATCTCACTACATCTCCTAATGCCGTCTCTATCTTTTCCATCATCTCACCAGAAATGTGTTTTGCCTTCGGGCCCCAACAGCTTTAGCACCAACGCCGTGTGTCTGTGTGTGCGTGAATGTATGTATGTGTATGTAGTCCGCGTGTAGTCATTGTGTGCGTGCGTGTGCATCTCTCACCGGGGAGGGGACCCCGGGGCAGGGTCCCAGGGAGGAGCTGCTCCCTCTCCGTGAGTCGGGAGACGGGGAGCGAGGAGACCCCCATGGCGTGGGGGCCGTGTGGGTGATGAGCGGTGGCATTGACATGCACTTTCCTTCCAGGAGCCCATTGGGTGTCAGCACTGCGCACGTGCACAAAGGCAAAGACAAATACCCCCCCCCCCCCCCCCCCCCCCCCCCCCCCGGGATAGCATTAACAGACTATTGGGGCAAGTGCTGTTAGCAAGCACCACATGACAGAGAGACATACACACAGACATTCATAGATGAAGGTCCCCCTTTCATAGCCACTTTGTTTTTATTATTTTTTTCTTTTTCTATCTACGTGACTTTACCGAAAGAACCATAGAATAGCCATACAGACTAATGGGGCCACAGAGAAAAGCCATACAGAACTGAAATCTCGATTAGTTTTGCTCTTCGTTGGCTATATACAAATCATCATCACCACCGTTTGGGCAAGTTCATATTTGCGGGGAATAATGGCATAGTGGTTATGAACACGGTGAGCTGAGTTCCATTCCAGGCTATGGCTAACATTAGAAGCAGGTGATTTCTAAACAAGTCATTATCATCATTAGACCTCCTTTGCCAGTACCAAAATGTAATAATAGGGTTTTTCCCCTTTTTTTCTGGCAACAAAACTGAAACCTTTTTACAAGGATTCATGTCTGCATTAACCACAATACCTGCAGTCAAAATACAAACAAAAAAAATAATATGATAATATATGCATTGTCCTTGAAACTGATTGGTCCACACCAAGGGACGGCTTTCTTTTGAGCCTCGACCCAATTGGTGCTCGACCAGAAGACGCCAAAAGGCTAAGAGCACTTACACCAGCAGACTACCTTGGGGGGGTCCTTCGTCTTGTCAGTCGTACGCAAATGAGCAAATGATAACAAATGTGGTCTTGTTGGAACCAGAACGACTTGCGGAAGGATGAAAGCAAGGTCTTAACGATTGAACACCTTCCCAGAATTCAATGACAGGTCACAATTTGGGGTCAAGATTGGATTTTCGAATCGCTGTGTTTATTGCCGTTGCGGCGAACATAAAATCCATAGCGGTATGAATCTTTAGAAGCCTTCGTGGTGTGAATCTTTTGACTCCCTAGATGTATCATGTTACTCGTGATGTACTGAAATATACGTGCGATTTTATTACAATTGATAGACTCATCCACACCATACCAATGTGGAATTTCCACCGCTGGCTCAGGACTGGAAGTAGGAAATGGGTAACAACGTTCATGCCCACTGAAGCAGGAATCACTTTCGCCTGACCATTTCCACATCGCTCAATTTTTCCCATCATACATAATAAAAACATAACAATGGTGCGAGTCGTACAGACTTTCTGCAAGCACAAATCAACCAGTTTTATATATCGTTCGCCCCCCTCGCCACCTCAATGTATTGAAAGTGTGCTACCGGGCCCCACATGATGCGATGGAGAATCCATTCAGGAATCTCATAGAGCAGTCACCCTATGTAGCAGTCTCTGTGGAAGAGATTTTCAGCATAACAGAAGCATCCTTTTTTGTATCCTTCACACGACAGGCATCGCATCGCGCTTGCGCATACACTCCGCTTTGAAATTGGCGCGTGAGAGTCAAACACCATACTTATCCAAATTGAGTGAAAAAACTTAATTCACTGTGAGAGGCTATTTGTTGCAACCATTGGGGACCGGGCTTAGACCACCAACTCGCTGCACTTGAGAGCCGGGTTTAAGTCAATGGTGGCAGAAATCTGAATTCAAACCCATGGCTCTCACCGGTGCCAGTTTGGCACCCCGAGCAATGCGCCACCGTGGCCACCTCAACAACGGGCGACCCCACAACAGCGCCCGCGTCAGAACCATTGACGCACCCAAATTTGCGTTTCGGTTAAGAGCTGAGCAGCGTGCGAATTAATTTTCGTCGGCCATCTTGCAGGGTGGTTCTTTTTAAACGCTGCTCTCGAAAGTTTTTAAAAGGTTTTTTTTTAATCGCTTGGGAAAAAAAAGGGAGAAACTCTGATCGTAAAAGTTAATGAGGGAAATCCACACTTTGATAATGGAGATTTAAGTGTTAATTAATGAAATTCTCAAGTTGAATTGTGTCCCATTAAAAAAGCGGGGGGGGGGGGGGGGGATGGTAGAAATTATGAAAAAGGTACGATAAAAAAATATAAGAACACATCATTGCGTTAGTGACAGCTGCTTGGAAATAAAAATGCAACCTTTTTAAAATGTCACAATGTTTGGAAAGAGGTGCAGGTTTCTTCACGCATGAACACAAATTAACAGCGCGCTCACGTGGAGATCAACGACATTTTCCTAATTCTCAGCGTAATTTTTTTACGCAATTTTTTTTAATTCACGCGCTTCATTCTGTTGCCGATTGCAAATCTTTTTACGGGAGCGACAGCACGAGGGCGAGCAAAACGTCACATCCGGAACTCGCTGGCTTCGTTTCACATCTGGCAACGGCCCTGGAAGATGACGCAGATGGTATCACGGTTTTTTTTTTATGAACACAACTTTTATATTCTTGGTTCTTTCGGTAATGTCACGTAGAAGGGAAGCAATAAAATAATAAAAATATAAAACAATACAATTCTCACGACGTTTTTTTTCTTCAAATTTTCTTGCTGTGGTTTTCACACCTGATGATGATTGCTTGTGTTGCAGTCGAAACGTCGTGATGGTTGTATTGTTTTATATTTTTATTATTTCATTGTTTCCCTTCTACGTGGTGACTTTACCGAAAGAACCAAGAATATGACTCCCTGCAGTCACGAAAGCTTTAAATCAAAACAAAACTGTTGTTGCAGCTTTGTTGTTGCCCCCATAACGGGCAGTGGTGGCTATGCACGTGGCCTGTAATCCAGCACTGTGGAGGTGAGGGTTGGTGGATCGCACAAATTGTTGAGAACCGCATTTCCCACGCCCTGGGGCTTGTCAGGAGAAAGTGTTAAAGCAAAGCTTGGACTCGCATCACCTGTCTTGTTTTGTATGGGATCGTGTTGCCCCCTCACACACGTGGATTTTCTCTAGGTGCGCCAAACTTCCTCCCACATTTGTAAACACTCATGGGTTGGCTTGGAAGATCTTGATATATACAGGACTGCAGAGCTTGGGCAATTGTTGGCACCGGCTGCTGCCTTCCCACTTCTGTGTGGCTCCTCAGCAATTATGAAATGCAATTTGCATGAACTACCGCTATAAATAAAATCAAACATGATTTATTATTATTAACCGTTGAAATGTCATGAAAATTACATTCACATTCAAACTCTCACAGCAGTGTAACATCACACTGACATTGCAGAAGTACTCCTGGCTTCCCTTCAATAGCCAAAGTATCTACACAGTTCGCGTATAGCTGAACAAAATAAAAAAAATCACTTAAAATGATGAGGGTTTTTTGCACAGAACTTGGTGACTACAGCTGAGAATCTGGTGAAACCATGGGTGGATTCGAACCCGGGGTGCCAGCAAGGCCATTATGAGCCACCCGTCTGTCTTCCTTAGCACTCGACCTGACACTAGATGGAACCCTTTCATATTATGTTGTGACATTTTCAAATATTACTGAACTGTGCCAGGTTGATTTACACGTTAAGTGAAAACCAAACTTGTGATACGACAGCTACGATATGTCACAAGTGACCGAGCCGAGACCATCATTTAGTTAACTATGGCGACGCACGCCTGTGATGCAAGGCTTTGGGGAGGGCAAGAGTTTGCACGCAGATTTATGAAACTCACAAACGCCGCTGTAGCTGTGAAGTGGACAGGGTTTAATAGTGCAAGCATGATGGCTTCCAATCAATCCGTGCAGAACTTGAATGAGCCCTCTTGTGATTGCGTGCAAAGAGGGCTTCCCCAGCTATTCCTCCAGGTTTCTCCCACCCAAGAAAAAAAACGTATCTCAATTCAGAGGTCTCCTTAAAAAAAGTGTCTAGAGACTTGTGAAGACTTCCCTGGATAAATAATTGCCACTATAAATGTCACTATCGAGAACTTGATTTAATCACAGACGGGATTCAAACCCATACATTCAGTACTGCTACATCTGTTTGGTGAAAAAAAAAACATTCTAACGCTAAGTGTTCATTCCCATTGGCGTCTCTAACCCTGTAGTGGAAATTCCACATTGCTCTGGTTGAGTCGGGGGACAGTCTTTTCATTGTATAATAATTGCTATTTCCTGCAAAGAAAATATTTCATTGATCCTGAACAGATAATTGTGATCATTTTCTGAGACGACCACTGACTCGAATATAGTTTTCAAAATAAACATGTTGAAATACATTCTGACAATTTTATGCATGGATATATGCAAAAAAAACTTAATACGTTGGATACCAATGAATTAATTATTGAAATCCGCTCATATGTTATGCCAATGCATTGAGACAACTCTGGGCAGACATCTAAGCATGCACAACATATAATAATCAATTTATCCGCGTGTGACGGCCTTGCTTTCATGTGCTAATCCGTCTCAGACTAAAACAAAACAAATCCCTCCAAACCAAAATCCACAAAGCTGGCTCTTGTTAAAACAAGGCGCGTAAATGGATAAATAAAAACTATTCTTGAAACGTAAAATCCACGGGTCATACTCGGAAGCTGTCGACTTGACAGCACGGGGCTTTGTTGGGCTTTCTGTTCATATCGTTGTGCACGTGCTCACAATTCAGAAGATACACGTTGGGGGCCGTCCATAAATGACGTCACGCGATTTTGGACGATTTTCGACCCCCCCCCCCCTCGTCACACGGCGTCACAAAAAGTCAGACCCCCCCTCAAATATGACGTCACAAAGCTCTGCCCCCCCCCATCCCCCAAAAAACAATTAAACATGCAAAAAATCGCTTTGAACTATTGTCATTGTAGTGCGTATTTAATCTGCCGCTGCACTCTGATGTTGTAGGAGAAAACATTTATTAAAAAGTCTATTTAATTAAGTAGAACGTGTTGTCTATATTTATTTAAAGTTGCGCATTTTGATGTGACGTCACATTTCTCACCCCCCCCCCCCCGTCACACATCGTCACAAATGTCTGACCCCCCCCCCCCCAGGTGCGTGACGTCATTAATGGACGGCCCCTTAGCCCAAATGTTCAGGACACATCAGGTTCTGCCATTTTAACACTAGCATAGCTTTTATTTTTTTATTTTTGTGTTTGAATATTTTATGTTATCGTGATAAAAATGTTTTTTTTCTTCCTTGTCAGATGACAATTACGTACGTCGATCAAGAACTCTGAATGAATCCAGTCGAAACGTAATTGAGGAATGTTCAAAGATCGCACGTGTAATCTCAACAACAACAAAAAAAGCCGCACATTCAATACGAAAAATAATCCATTGCAACCGTTGATGTTGACGGAAGTGAGTATGAACATCCGTTAAAATAAACGAAATCGCCCTCGTTGATTTGTTACGATAACTATAACCCCATGTGTCCTGCGCTTTTGGGCCACCCCTGTATACCGTATTTATGTTTTTTTTTCCCCTCCTCAAGGCTGCCTTGACAGCAGATGGGCGGACCTCTCGGTCTTCGTTGTTGCCTGCAGTAGCTTGGGCAGGCACCGTGCGAATGTATTCTCGCCCACTTTACCGCGACTATCAAGTCCATCGGCTCTGCGTGCCACCCACCCCACCCCCTCCTCCAATACGCGCTGAAATCATTGCGTGGAGGCTAGAGGGCATCGGCTCTGTGTGTGTGTGTTTGTGTAGAAGGCTATGCGGGGGTGGGGGGAAAGCTTTGTTTGCTCGCTGCTGTCGGATAAAAAGAGCGATGAGACGGCTTTGTCGTTGTTGCTGTTGTCATTGTGAGCATGGCATCGGGACAGCTCCCTGCACAATCAGTGCGAGGGCTCGCGGGCGGGCACAGCGCGGTTACTGTGGCGTAGCCGCACTGCGTTCTGAGATTATTTTGCAAGGGGGGCCCCCTTTGTGTCAAGATGTTCTGAGGATTCAGTTTTTTTTAATTAACTCTTTGCAGGTACTCCGGAGGGAGAAATTCCCCTACGGAGTACCCAGGGAAAACCCCACGCGCACAAAGGGGAGTGAACGCAAACTAAATTCCGCAGACAGCTGAGGAATCGCGTTGCAGTCGTCCCTGCCGCTTGCCGCCGGCCGCACAGAGAATGAAGGTGTCACGCAAGACACAAAGATCTGTGCGCCATTCAACAATCCTACTTACAAGGTGCTGGATTACAGCAGCCGTGCCAAGCTAGGTGCACTTCGTAGCTATTGGGACAGGCTCATTCGTGTGTGTGTGTTTCGCTAAAGTCTCCTGTTTGATTTGTACTAGGTGCCTCGGTGAATGTGTATGCTCTGACTTTAACATAGCTATTTCTGTGACCAGTTACAAGCTAATCACTCAGCTATCTCAATGCTAAATTCTATGCTAATTTATTTGTCAAGGGGTGCCTCTGCGGATGTGTATAGTTTAACTTAGCTATTTCAATGAGCCATTTCAATGCTAAATTATATGCTAATTCATTTGTCAAGGCGCTTTGTTTCTTCTCACACAGCTTAAAGGTCGTGATCTGAGCGTGGCTTTTTCACTCCAGCGCTGTCCTCCAGACAGTCTCGTCCCTTCACCTGATGAAGGCCGCTTGTGTTGTGGCCGAAACGTCGTAATTTTTGTTATTTTATTTTTTACCTACGTGACTTTACCCAATAGAACCAAAGAGTGTGTGTGGACATACATGTGTAAGCATGTAAATATGCACAAAGGTAAAACAAAGACAATCCTCCCCTCAAGGCTTAAAATACTGTCGGTGCAAGTGCTGTTAGCGAGCACCTACGAAAGGTCGGAATGGCACACAAAGGGGTGGGTGGCCAGTCCCATATACCAAGATAAAGAACCCCATATAGCTATACAGACTGTTGGGGCAAGTGCTGTTAGTGGGCAACTTCACACATCTACACACAGGGACATAAATACACACGCACACACGCGCTTACATGTGAACATATACACACATGCAAAGAAAATACAACGATCTACCATACAGTGTTTGTAGTGTGTTGGGGCAAGTGCTGTGACCACACATAGTATGTTGAACTTCTTTCTCACCGTATGTAGCCAACCATTTTAATCGGAGGCTGGCAGGGCACAATGGGAGCAAGCATAGCTGATACAACCATGCCCAGCCGCCTTTTTTTCCCCGGTGCCGATATTTACACACCGTGACGCGAGGCACTCTTTCAAGGCTGAGCTGACTCACGACCAGCTCTGATACCCCACACGCCACCGATGAAAGAACGGCCCTGCCAGGAACTCAAACTCAGGTCACTCACACACATGGACGCAGCTGCAAAGCCACGCTTGTACTGGGCCTCACCGGCAATGGAGTGGAGTTCTTTGAGCTTGTCGTGTCCGTCATCCAGGTTATAGGGGGAGCACTGCTCCCCATCAGACTCAGACTTGTTTGCATCGCCCTGTGATTTAGAGATGAGAGAGAGTAAGGATTTTTGAATATATATTTGAATTATATTTCAATAGGAGCTTGGTACAGAGCACAAATCGTGACGCGAGTCGGAGGAGGCACAGACAGGCACGGATTTAACCTGCACACAGGCACAAGACAAAGATGCCCCATATAGCCTCAACAGATTTCTGCGGCAGGTGCTGCTAGCGAGCACCAATGGAGGCCAGCGTAGCACACAAGGGGATGGGTGGCCAGCACCACGCCCGGCCGCCAGCACCACGCCCGGCCGACTTTGTCTCCCGAGTGGAAATGTTTAGACATCGCACCAGGTACGTATATGAGGCTTGGTCGACCGAGGGGAGGCCCAGGACAGGTTGAGGTATTCGTCACTGGTGCCGACCGTGTGCAGGAATCGAACTCGGTTCCATCGGGTTTGTAGCGTAGCATGCTAACTGCTACACTACCGCTCCCCGCAATATACACACGCACTCATACACAAATGCCATGAAAAGAAATACGCTATTTCTGTACTCCAGTGGATTCCGCTGTATTGAATTGGTCTTATTTAACAACGCCACACTTGAATTAAGAAAGTACAGGGTGTTTATAATCAATGGACCCAATATCAAAGCAGTACATTTCACGATGGCAACATGTTACAATTACACACAAAGTTACAAACGGTTTAATGAGTTATCAAGTTTTACTAACCATTTTATAAATGCTCTATGCGCCCTTCACCTGCTGTACGGACAACATCGAGACGATAGTTGAATTCGCCCCAAACGCCTCTCTTCTCACGTTTCCCTCTGAGGTGCGTGGTCGCCCTGTGCTCTGCCCCTTACATCAACAGCAGCCCGTTTTCTCAAATTGTCGGTACCAACGACGAATGCTCTTTGACATTGGCGGATCAAAGCCAAAACGCCGTTGAAACGCACGCTGCACCGCAATTACGGGTTCAGTCTTGCTGAACTGCAGAACGCAAAACGCCCCTTGTGTTGCGGGGGTCACCGTCTCGCGAATGACTGAGGCTAGGGGCTGTTTGTGCGCTGGGAGAGGCATCTAGCGGTAGTCATTTAAAACTCTATGCCCCGCCCTTTCAAGTGGTAAGAGTTTCATTCATGGGCGGTTCGTGGTTGCAGAGATATAGTGATTTCAAATCGGGTCCATCTCTTTTAAACACTCTGTATTTTGCTTTAACAAAGGAATACAAAACACTGCCAATGCAATGCACCAAGCCAATGTCAAAAAGGACCTTGGGCTTAAATAGGCATCGCTCATCACTCTGATGATTCGCAGACAATTGTATAAATTCTACATTAATATGGCACGGTCTAGTTAGGGTCTAGTCACTTTAATACAACAGCACGTACTCTTGAATTCCCTGCACCAATTACCAAACAGTGATGATGCTAATCGTGCTATCTTGCTGTTGCTGCTGTCGACGATGAACATGTTGACGAAAAAGATGCATGATGACAATGATTATGATGCTGCTGCAGATAATGAAACTTTTTTCTACAGCTGCAGTTTATAAAGACCACAATGAAGACGATTAAACAAATTGCAGATGATCATGATGATGCTAACAATACTTCGGCTGATGACGATGTGATGATGTTCCACTCCTGATGCTCCTCCTGACAATGATATTTACATCAACAACAACAACAATGGAGGTGAAGACCACGATGACAATGATGACAACGATGACGTGGGCGCATTAACCTTGGCCGGGATGTGAACTCAGCCGCTCACGCACGAGAGCCTCGCCGCTTTATCGCTACGGAGGCATCCACGCGCGGCAGACTCAGCGGGGAGGGGAGCGGCGGAGGTTGGTGGGGGCGCTCGGAACCACGGTTATCCATCGATCGAGCGTGCGACAAGAAGTTTACAAACCTTCGAAGGAAGCATTGATTTGCGCCGACCTCTACAATGGCAGGAGCAATTTCGAATTTCATCAATTCACTTCACGCCGAGTGGCTGGATACGAGCCCTCTCGGCATGAGCGCTCCTTGTGACAACGATGCCGTGCGACACTCACCGCTCGCGCTGTCACGGCAAGAGCCGCGTACGGCGATCTTAGCGGGCAACGGAGTCGCTCGTGGAAGAGGGGAAAATGGGCGATGGGCGAGCGGGGGAGGGGGAGGCTCTTGAGAACTAAAGGGTAGCTCAGTAAAAAGATTAATAAACAAATTGTACGCTTTTGTCAACTAGCATGAGAACGCGTCATGACTAGTATTTCCGCGGTTTGTTGAGCCGGCAGATATTTTGACCGCGAACGCGTCTGGAGTGGAGGCGCATTGTTTGGAGCGAATTACCTCCGCCTGGAATCCCTCCACCAGGATGGCCACCAGGAGGTTGAAGAGGACGTAGTTTCCAAAGGTCATGAGCGCGATGAAGTAGAGCGCCGCCCAGGGAGACGAGGAGGCCATGCCGTGGTACAGGACCACGTTCCAGTCCTCCTGTGTCAGGATCTGGCAGTTGGGGAGCACACGGCCCCAGAGTAGTAAGAACAAGGCCCACGGTGTGGTGGAGGGGGGCCAGTGATGTCGTGTGACTTTGACAGATATTGTTTTCGCTCAGTCTCGCGCACACGGTCATTCATTCTTTCGACCACACCGCCAGACTGCACGGATTCCACCTTCCACAGAAGGCTCATCTACAGAAGGTCATCCTCGCGGCGGCTTTTAGCTGCATTTCTCGCTTTCAGCTGTGCTTCTGCGGCCGTCTGGAACTCTCATCCTTCCGATAATAGGAAACCACTGGAGCTATGCACTTTTAAATATTTGGAACTGCTTTTCGTGTTTAGTTTGTTGTCCTTTCCCTACATCTCCAATGAGCACAGTTGGCGATGTATGGTGCAAAAGAAGTTCAACATACATACATACATTGAGGAGCACTTAACTGTATCCCCACAAAGGATGGACGATGCAGTGGACATCAAATACACACGTGTCAAAATTAAATCGTCTCTCCTGTGTCCGACTTTGGCTAAAAACACCAGACCATGGACCATGGAACTTTGCACTGACTCAAATATACATTTGAAGGCCATGGGTGCTGGAGTGAGTGGGTGGGTTGGTGAGTGGGTGAGTGGATGAGTGGGTAGGTGAGTGGGTGGGTTGGTGAGTGGGTGAGTGGGTAGGTGAGTGGGTGGGTTGGCGAGTGGATGAGTGGGTAGGTGAGTGGGTGGGTTGGTGAGTGGGTGAGTGGATGAGTGGGTAGGTGAGTGGGTGGGTTGGTGAGTGGGTGAGTGGATGAGTGGGTAGGTGAGTGGGTGGGTTGGTGAGTGTGTGTATTCATGTGCCAGGGTGAAGCGGTGGCTCAGCGGCCAGCGCGATAACTCGAGTTAATTTCCAGGCCACGGCTTTCATCAGTGGCCAATGATATCTGAACTAGTCCTGGCTCCTCCTCACACCTTCACCAACCCGCACTGACCATCGTAGCGATGTATGGTCAAACAACCCCTGCTTCTCATATGGCGTGGGGATGATTCATATGACTGTAGATTGACAAAGGGCTTAGACTTATCATTTGTTTAAACACCCTCTCTTTCCCAGTATTATTTTGTACAGCATATTGAGATGAGGTTACATTGAGATTCTCAACAAATCCGATTGGCATTGTACTCCAATTGCTCATTGAAGCAAACCATTAATAATAATTAAAGGCCCTATGGAAGAAGCGTCTTGAGATTCAATGCAGCTTTTCTGGTAAAATAAAGAGCATCCTTTGTTGTTGTTATTTTAACCAGAACAATCCCTGTGGTATGAAAACAGTGTCCCGGGGCAACTGACAGAGGCAACTGCATGAGAAGGTGAAATGCGAACAACTAAAAATCTTCAAAAAAGTGAGCTGATTGAAATCCTAAAAACGCTGTTAATTTGTACATGGTTAATAACACTGTGTAACAACATTTTTTTTGTTTGTTCCTGGGTAGTATGCGTTACTTCTGAATTGCTTATGCCTCAAAAGTACAAAAAATGGCTATTATTCCCCATAAACTTTGTTTTTGTGACCAGGACAGTGATATTTTGAAATGTACCTATTTTTAATGCGAAAACGGACGAATTTGTATCTTTTCATTCACATAAAGTCAGAAAAAAACAACACATGAATCAAAATTAACATGCATTTATACTAAAGTAATACAGAAATTACAAAAGATTTAGACACCAAGGCGCACTACCACAGGTGGGACTGGCCACAGCAGACCGAGTTCTCTGTGGGGAGGAACAACGTCAAGTGGGAGCCACTGGTGGACCCCCGGAAGGTGCTGATGCCACCACTGCACATCAAATTGGGCCTCGTGAAACAATTTGTCAGAGCTGTAGATAAGAAGTCGGCAGCCTTCAAGTACCTTCAAGACTTCTTCCCGAAGCTGTCTGAGGCAAAGGTCAAAGCCGGTGTCTTCGTCGGACCACAGATAAAGAAGATCCTGGAGTGCAATGAATTCCCCAAGAAGCTCACTAGTAAGGAGAAAGCGGCTTGGAACAGCTTTGTCACAGTGGTTCGTGGTTTCCTGGGCAATCACAAGGTCGAAAACTATGTGGAGCTGGTTGAGACTCTGGTGAAGAACTACGGCACAATGGGCTGTAGGATGTCGCTCAAAGTCCATATCCTTGATGCTCATCTTGATAAATTCAAGGAGAACATGGGAACGTACTCGGAGGAGCAAGGCGAGCGCTTATTTTTGTTACCATAATATCATTGTAAAATAATAATTTGACAATTATATTATTGTAAAAAAATACATATAAATATTGTATTGTTGTTATTGTTAATATTTAGAGCCCTTCAACATTCAATTGAAGGCCTTTCCTTACAGTGTTGTCCATGGGGGTTTGTTTAACAATACTTCACCATGTACATCAAGACGAGTTCGTCAAGGGGGGACTAGAACCATTTAAGATATCAATCACCTCTAACTTAAGCCATGGCCAGGAATCAGAATCTGATCGTCAAGTTCATAGTGAATTGTGCAAACCACTGTGTCAACGCTCCATCTCAAACTGTAACCTTCATAATAATGCCCTATAGTTATTCAGAAAGGCGTCTCTCAGCCTTAAGTTTTCGTACTTATTCAGGCTTTGGTGATCGAGCTAATGGTCTGAGCTTAGTCACCAATTTTGGCACGAAAAAGGAATAAAGTTTTCCACTTAATTTGACTTAATTCCAACTCTAAGAAGTACAGTGAGGGAAAAAGTATTTGATCCCCTGCTGATTTTGTACGTTTCCCCACTGACAAAGAAATGATCAGTCTATAATTTTAATGGAAGGTTTATTTGAACAGTGAGAGACAGAATAACAACAAAAAGATCCAGAAAAACGCATGTCAAAAATGTTATAAGTTGATTTGCATTTTAATGAGGGAAATAAATATTTGACCCCCTCTCAATCAGAAAGATTTCTGGCTCCCAGGTGTCTTTTATACAGGTAACGAGCTGAGATTAGGAGCACACTCTTAAAGGGAGTGCTCCTAATCTCAGCTTGTTACCTGAATAAAAGACACCTGTCCACAGAAGCAATCAATCAATTAGATTCCAAACTCTCCACCATGGCCAAAACAAAAGAGCTCTCCAAGGATGTCAGGGACAAGATTGTAGACATACACAAGGCTGGAATGGGCTACAAGACCATTGCCACGCAGCTTGGTGAGAAAGTGACAACAGTTGGTGGAATTATTCGCAAATGGAAGAAACACAAAAGAACTGTCAATCTCCCTCGGCCTGGGGCTCCATGCAAGATCTCACCTCGTGGAGTTGCAATGATCATGAGAACGGTGAGGAATCAGCCCAGAACTACACGGGAGGATCTTGTCAATGATCTCAAGGCAGCTGGGACCATAGTCACCAAGAAAACAATTGGTAACACACTACGCCGTGAAGGACTGAAATCCTGCAGCGGCCGCAAGGTCCCCCTGCTCAAGAAAGCACATATACATGCCCGTCTGAAGTTTGCCAATGAACATCTGAATGATTCAAAGGACATCTGGGTGAAAGTGTTGTGGTCAGATGAGACCAAAATGGAGCTCTGTGGCATCAACTCAACTCGCCGTGTTTGGAGGAGGAGGAATGCTGCCTATGACCCCAAGAACACCATCCCCACCGTCAAACATGGAGGTGGAAACATTATGCTTTGGGGGTGTTTTCTGCTAAGGGGACAGGACAACTTCACCACATCAAAGGGACGATGGACGGGGCCATGTACCGTCAAATCTTGGGTGAGAACCTCCTTCCCTCAGTCAGGGCATTGAAAATGGGTCGTGGATGGGTATTCCAGCATGACAATGACCCAACACACGCGGCCAAGGCAACAAAGGAGTGGCTCAAGAAGAAGCATATTAAGGTCCTGGAGCGGCCTAGCCAGTCTCCAGACCTTAATCCCATAAAAAAATCTGTGGAGGGAGCTGAAGGTTCGAGTTGCCAAACGTCAGCCTCGAAACCTTAATGACTTGGAGAAGATCTGCAAAGAGGAATGGGACAAAATCCCTCATGAAATGTGTGCAAACCTGGTAGCCAACTACAAGAAACGCCTGACCTCTGTGATTGCCAATAAGGGTTTTGCCACCAAGTACTAAGTCATGTTTTGCAGAAGGGTCAAATACTTATTTCCCTCATTAAAATGCTAATCAATTTATAACATTTTTGACATGCGTTTTTCTGGATTTTGTTGTTGTTATTCTGTCTCTCACTGTTCAAATAAACCTACCATTAAAATTATAGACTGATCATTTCTTTGTCAGTGGGCAAACGTACAAAATCAGCAGGGGATCAAATACTTTTTTGCCTCACTGTAGAAAAGCATCAGTTTGATTGCCATACGACGGAATATTTATATGTACCAATGAGTGTGGGGTAGTGCACCCCTTGTTACGTGGAAAACAGAGGTAATTGGAAGGTGCAGTATTTCAGGAGTTCTATGAAAGTTTCTTCTACTTGCGGATTTCTAAGAGAATGGCAATGCACCTCTTTCTCTGTGGGTTCAGAGTGGATACTCCTCAATATGCGACACTTACAGCACAGAAGGACTTAAGCTTGGAGAAAAACATATCTTAAAGTGTCATTTGTATTCATTTCACATTACTTACAACAAACTCCCAGCAATGAATTTTAAAATATTACACTTTATTTTCCTATGATTACTTTTATTCAGCAGTAATTATTTTTCAGAATTTCCAATTATTATGCTAGTGATAGAATACAATTTAAGCCAGAGGTTTGTTTATGCTCCCAAGTGTCTCATTAGCAATTGTTTTATATATATTTAACAGAGTACAAAAAAGGAATCTAAACGAGTCACGTAGATGGTAGAATGGCGCCGAGGTGGCGAGATGTTAACTACCTCGCAGGAGGTCGTGGGTTCGATCCCTACCCTGACACCTTAATATTTGGAGTTTGCATGTTCTTCCTGTGGTCATGTGGATTTGTCTCCAGGTCCTCTGGTTTTACCCTCCACATTTATAAACATGCGT